GGGTCCGCCTGCAACGGTCGGGTCAGGCGAGCGCAAGTAGTCTAAATGGTTGGTTTCCGTTTGGTTTTTGCTTTGAGTTGAAGACAAACCAGAAGGGGCCCGACCAATTCTACATCAATTGCATACATGTGCTCAATGGGCGGAGCTTGTCAGTCAGCCCGGCGAGCTGCGAACTGCCATGCCAGGCTGCCGTGTTCCACCTTTAGCAATGATACACAATGCACAACTCTTGCAGCTCGTAACTATCGAAAACGAATAATCGGTTTAAAAGGGAGCTCTCGGGTTTGGCTGGTTGCCCTCAGTTTGAAGATCGCCAGGGGGTCAGTCAGCTGGGCTGGCCTTGAAACGAAGCATGCTAGCCCATCTCCCGTGCAAAATAGAATTCTTTCTCGACATTCCCAGCTCCCAAGGCCCTGTCACATGGTGTTGTCATCGCTTGGCGTTGCTCCGAATTTACAGGCCCCCAAAATGGGTGGTTTCCTTTGCTGTCCGTCTAAAACCAACCAAAACGCAGTTCCGAAGAAAGACTAAAGACACCCACATGGCCGCACGCGGCCTTCAGCTTCTCCCGAGAGCGAAGGCAAAGCATCTGGGCCACAAGCTCAGGGTGCGTCTTCCGCTGGGACTCGTCGAAGGACGTCCTGGCTCAAGGCACTCTCAGCGCTGTGTTCAAACGTAAACGCGCGGACATCCTAGAGACAAGCCACTGGTAGCTGACAGGATCACATCTTTCCGCCAGACTAAGTTTCGTCTAGGATAGCCCATAGTCAATTTCCGATCAACAATGGACAGCAAAGGATCGGCTAGATCCACATGTGTCTGGATGCTCCTCACCGGGGTGTCAGTGTCTCAACTCACTCCATAGCCACCCAGCTGTCAAGTTGGCATCATGGGAATGTTTGATTTAGCAAACAAATAGAGGGGGGCTATAGGCGAGAATTGAACAAACTGCTGGCCCTTCAGTGCAGCCAAGCGTCAATGTCTCTTCGATTGCCTGCTGCCGCACTTCAGCGTTATCTTCACGCCGAATCGCAAACTTCACCCTATGCACCTCGGAGACATGTCGTGTCACCTGCAAACCGCTACAGTAGCCTACAAAGGCCTGGTGCGGGCACCTGGCACATGATTGTGTCAGTGTCGTTGGCTTCGCGGTAATCAGCGCCACTGTGCCCCAGCTATGCATTCTGTTCAATCAAGCGGAAAGAAATGTTCACGACATGAAGCAACTGAAGCCTTCCCTCAACATTTCGGTTGCAGGTCGGTAGCTTCGGTCGCTTGATCGAAGGCATGCTTTGACGCCCGAGATCAAGTCTCAATCTCCAGCCCCCTTTGTCTTGGAGTGGCACCCGGCTCTGCAAGTCGTTCAGGCTGTAGCCTTCAAGCAAATGTCTCCTTCCCCCCCCCCCACGTCCATATTAAAAATTAAAAAGGCCAAATGTGGTAGGGGGGACGTTGCTGCGAGGTGCGTTTCCCATGAGCGCGAAACTGCCTGTGAGTCCCTCCAGTGCCTCGGCGGTGTTGTAACATGATGCTCCCGTAATCAAAACAACACAACAATCCTCTGTGAAGGTCTTAAGCAGCTTAGCACTTTCCCAGCTCCCTCCTTTTTCAGCTATCCAAACTTTCAGGCCAATTAGAGTGAGAGGGAGAGAGAGCATGCCAGCTGGGAAAACCTACAGCTATTTGGCAACACAATCCATAGCATCAGCAGCAGCCTTGCAAACAAGAAACTGACAATGAATCCGGAACGGGATGACAAACACAATCACAACAAATAATACGACTTCCAGATAAACACTTGGGCGAAATGCCGTCTGATCTTTTTTTTCCCGACCAAACCTTTATTGATAGCATCTAGGTCCTGGAACACGGTTCTGCTGGGAAGCTGGCCGACATCCCAATCAGTGCATATCAGTGCTGCTATTCAACTTAAGGTGTCTCATCCCCTTGCCGCTGTCTTACCGGCGTTTGGCTGTTGCAGCTAAAATCTGGGGGTGGGGGCTACGTTAGGGCACTGACAATGACGCAATTGCTCCATATAGTTGGTTCGCACTCAAAAAACTCCTTGAGGTCATTGCTACAAAGTAACATGCCCATGGGCCATGACCCAGGTAACTTTATTTGTCACAAGCTTCGGTCCCTGCCGGCCTTGAATGACGTCGTTGAGCATGTCAGTGAGTTTGCCTGAGGCAACCAACCGGCACCTTCGTTTCAGAGGAGTTGATGAGTACTTCTACGAATCGGCTCTACCGGCGTGTCTTGTGGATTTTTGCGCGGTGTTGTAGAGCGGCCTTTGTCGCAGATTTTTGCCTCGTCTGAATTGGCGTCCTCCCCCCTGGGGGCTTGGAAAATGGGGGGGGGGTCAGGGGGGGCGGCTAAAACCTGCGCCCAAACGACATTCCACTTCTTAGCACTCAAAACGCAAAGGAGGCTAAGTGCAAGAACAACTGCAAGAAACCCACGCGTTTGCTTACTGCCGCCAGCGTCGCGTGCGCAAGTAGTTCTTCAACACAGCGCGCAAACGAGACCAAACTAGCTATGAGACATGCACGTCTGCTTGCGTGCGCAAGTGAGTGCCTACGAAGGGGCGCTTCAAGGCCAGGAAGCGGTTGGGTCCCTGCCAAAGTTCTGCCAACACCCATGCCCAAGGACATTATGCAGCACAGCACAAAACGCAAGCGAGACTACACGCAAGAACAACTACAAAACACGCATGCGTTTGCTTGCTGCTGCCAGTGTCGCGCACACAAGTAAGCGCCTACGAAGGGGCTGGCTGCCCCCAGCCTCCAGGCTACAGGGCGGCCAGCCAAATTCGACAGGAGCCGGCGGCACACGCCAAAGGTGTGAAAAGGAAGAAGCCGAAACACACATGGTCTGTGCCTACATGACAGAAACAATAGACTACGTGCAAGCCCACATACAAACAAGCCTGTACCTCATGTGGGGTCAAAAGCAACAAATGTTCATGGAATGCATGCGTGCCAAATACCAAGTCAGCTGCGACTTGTTATTTGGGTCCGAAAAAGCGAGCTGGGCCGCACGGCTATACTTATTGAGCTTGTTGGTGATCCTGCCCTTCGCACCAGATTTTTCCTGAGGCCGGAGGTCACCGCTTCTGCAAACAACGATCACACGCCTTGTTGAAACTGCGATCATGTGCCAACGTCTGGTGAGAATGTCCCTATCCTGCTTGTGCCCTGTCATTGTCTTGTAATCCTCACCATGGCATTGTACTTGAAGTACACAACAGTTGATGGCAACGTAAGAAAACACGGTTTGCCCACCAACAGCTCTGGCTGCCTCATCTCAAGTGCCCGACCTCTGCTGCAAAGCCAAGGTTCTGAGTACATGCCATTGGGCCCCTTGGAGCACTGTCCCATGCAGCCTGCCAGCCGCTTGCAGCGATGTGCACTGAAATCATCCCAAAACTTCGAACAGCTTCTTGGAATTACAACTGTCTTTTTTGTAGGGACACCCCACCCCACCCCAAAAAAACACACACACACACAGAAGGGTTTTCCTCTGGCATTCCACGACAAAACTGAGCCATACCTCAAAGCCTGCATTCAAGGATCCCTCTTTATATTTCATCGGGTGAGCATGGAACGGCCGTCGATTGTATCATTGAATAATGAACCGGCACAAGAGCAACATATCTTTAGATAGAAGGCCTAACGGAATTAAAGCACAGTTTGAAAGCTTCACCAAATGGTCACGGTCACTACACAATGATGCAACTTAGAACCACAAAAGCTGTCTTGTAAATCTCATGAAACCTGTGTCATTTTGCAGTGGGTGTGTCGGCTATGAAACCTACTGTAGTTATCACTGATTGAAATGACGTGGACACTTGGTCTATGAGGAATTCAATGATTCCAGATTACTTCCGGACGTCTATGTAGCTGTGCCTATGCAAACCTTCGCTTTGCAATCCTGAGATTGAAATGATGACTTTGCGAGCGCTGGGTGTCCACGTTAGTCTTTTGTCTGCAAAACAAGCAGTTCAGAAGGAGCCAGTAAAAAAAAAAATCATTGAACCAAAACGCCGATGTACTTGGCATCAACTTGCGTTGACGACAGAGGTGACACAGCCATTTAGACTTGCCAGCGAAAACTGGCTCGAGCTACATGAAGTCTCTTCAACTGCAAAATTATGAACTTCGACCCAGGCTTCTGCTAAGACCCCCCAAAGAAGCCCACAAAACACTTCTATCGGTCGGGTTCCCTACATGTTCCGAACCTAGCTTTGAGACCCCATCGTTTCAAAGCGTGCATAGCGGCGCATAGCGGCGCCAAGATCTCCCATCTTGTGGAGGAAATTTGCAAAGGGGGCTGATGGCATAATCGTCTCAACCAGCACTGCAAGCCCAGATTCATGCCCTTTCCAGCCGCGTGGCCTGACGCTTCCACGCAGGCTACGCCGAAGGCAAGATCCTCCATATCCCTGACAAGATTTGAGACTTCGCGATTTCCAAACAAGTACCCATCAACCATACTGTGGATCGAGGCAAGTGCTGCACCATCTGAGATGGATGAAACCCTATGAATAATCGGAGAAACAGCCTATCAGCTGGTGCAGGGTGCTGTCCATCAACACTGGCATGAAAACGCGTAGTACGCACAAATGGCAAGGGTGAGGGCCAAGGCCATACGTAGGAAGATATGACCACTGCCGAAAGGAGGCCAACACCCCAAAGGGCCACTTCTGACTGTGGCTATATGAGTAAGCAGGACTGTTTTAACTAAATTAGCAAGCACAAATCTAGAAGAGTTGTGATGGCCTTTAACAGGCAGGGTCAAAACATGCCAAGCAAGTCGATCATGTCGTCACACTCGCTGATCTATCTGTCCATTAACCAAGCAAACCAGTCGGACTTGTTTCCATGCAGACCACCTGCATCATACACTTGACACAATGCAATGTGATACAAAAGCAAGGTACGATCCGTCTCGGCCCGGCAAGGCCCGTGTTGCACGCCCATCAATCGGCCAGCCTGATGATGAGCCCCGCACCATTGGCTGTGCATTTGGGGCCTGCAGGGCATGCACGGCCCCAAAGTGACACCAGGCCCTCGAAGAAACATAAAAGTCACAAAATATGTCACAAACGCTTCACGAATTCGAAGCAGGACATCGCATGTTGAAATGGCGGAAGACTCCGAACAGAATACAAGGCATTAAGGATCAAGTAAACTCGGACTCGGAAAAAATGGCTGATTGCGCTCTGTGGCAGCCTTTGCCAAACACCAAGCTGAGACGACTGAGTTTCTTGTTGATTCTGGAGGCATATCCTTTGTCGGTCTTCAATTCTTGATCCGGGCTTTGAATGCCCTCGCTTTGGGCAAAATGGTGCGCATGAGTTTGCCACATGTACAATTCATCCAGAACCACCAGACCTCCTCATGTACGAACATTCGTCACGGGTAACTTGCTTCCTTCCATGTGAGCTCGCCATTCGTCGCCATTACCTGTCTCCCAGTGGGCTTACAAAGCAGGCGCTAACCCAGCCTTGACACATGGTGACATATGGCATCGGGTCGGTCGGCTTTTAGCCGCCGACCCCAACTCTGCCCCCTCAGCCTCGGAGTCACGGTGCAGTTTGCAGTGTCTCTCGTTCAGATTCAAAATCAATGCAGGAGTGCAACAAACGAGCGAAAATGCTTTTCGCAGCAAATTGCGGAAAATCAAAGCAATGAAATGGTAGTGTGGCATGCCCTTTGGTTTGCAGTGTGGCAATTGAATCGGGGCTCGCTGCGACCTTCCAGCAAAATAAACCGAAACACAACATCTGCTCTTGTGCTGCAAAAGCTGGTACCAATTCAAGCTTTGCTGCCATCTAACGGGGTCTGTGCTTCAAGACTCCCTCCTTCTGAGTTGAAGCTCCTCAAAATGCCCCTTCCCCCCCCCAGCCCCAGCCAGGGAGCAGCTACAAACGAGCTGTGAGGCAAGTGCGGAGCTTTGAGCCAAAGTGCGGAGCAAGCACCAAGATGTGGCTGCAATGATCGACTGCTTCAATTCTTGTAGGCGGCTCTTGGGCAAACCAATGAGTTCCCCACGATTTTTTGCAATACTAGTATTAAATGGTCCCCACGGTCCCTATGTACTCTACTGTGGATGGAAAAACTCCTGCACGAGTTGGGATATGTTGGTATGACTACTCGGGGGAAGAAAAAAACAACTAACAATTGGTGCATGGTGCTGCCTATCGACGGTACTTGTTGCACTAGGAGAGTGCACTTCTCCTAGCCATGCATGAGCGACATGCATGCCTAATACATGACACAGCTGCTCTGAGGTTCCGAGTGCGGTTTGCAAGTTATTCTTTGTCTGGCACAGTGGCCCAATATGATGGTGACAAAAAGCCCGTGTCCTGCCAAATCCAACACCATGCACAAGAGCATGGTTTAGTGAGATCAAGCAGCGAGTTCAACCAACTCAGTGCTCGATTCAGTGCCATCAGCTCGGGCTACTGAGTTTCACCAAACAAAATATGTTCTGACTGCGCTTAGTCCCAAATGGGGCCGCACACCAAAAAGCAGCTGCGGGTTGCTCGAGCTTTTGCATGCAAAAGTGGGCGCTTTCAAGGGGCTGACCACCGGCTTCAGGATTTCTTGCCAGGGACAAACTGATTCTCCACCATTCGCGCATATGCTATTGGCCCAACAAAACACAACCCCACAGCAACAATCTCGTTTGAAGTTTGAAGCCCCAGATGCCGCCAGGACTCTAGGCATCATGCAGACTCACGTGTTGGCACTGCACTCTGGGCGTGATGCTCATTCACGTGCTGGCACTGCATCTCCGCGGCCTAAAGACAGTTGTGTTGGCCAGTGCTGAAACGGCCGCAAATGCTGACGAGATCTCTTCAAACCAACCATCCAGCCAACCAGCCAACCAACCAACAGACAGGCACACAAACAAACAAACAAACGAACAAACAAACAAACAAACAAACAAGCAACAAGCCGACCGACCAACAGAGCGATCGACCAACAATCACGCACGTTTGCACAACTGATGGAAGCAAACCATGGAAATCAAGGCAGCAAGGCTTTCGAGCCGGTCCCTTTGGTCCAAGACTCACAACCTCGCTGTACTCTGAGGCAACCACCATGGTTGGCTTCTCCTTGCCTGACAGAAGAGCAAAGGCTCCAAGCCGGCAAAATGCCCAATGCCAAAGCAACACGAGATGATGCTCGGGAAATATCGAAGCAGCATGATTGACAAGCAAACTTTAGCGTGCCAACACACTGGTTGGTTGGAAGAGTAACTTCTTTTGTGCAGTAACTGCCAGCGTTTGTCTCTCGCAAACGCATAGACACAAAGGCCAGCCTTTGTTCTTGCCTCTAGCAAGAGCCCGCCGAGTGGTATCGTCCTGGCCACTCCAAGTCCAATCTCAAGATCATCCTACATCGACCTTTCGGATGACTCTGGCTTCCCTTAACAGCAATGCAATGTATTTTTCACATACGGGGGAACCCATCAAAAGATGCCTTGGCCAGGTCGAAGGCTGTGACTTGCACCGGAGATTTGGCCTCAGAGCCAAGTGCTGTGCTACTGTCACTGGATGCTGGGGGGGGGGGGGTCAGTTTGTCTCCCACTCTGGCAAGGCGTAGGTGATATATGGCGCAAGCACTGAAGTGAGTGTCGTGCGAAGGTGAAGTCGGCCAAGCTCGAGTTGCTATGAAACGACCGAGCTTCTTCTACCGAAGCAAGTGAGCATGAAACCTTGAGTTGCAGGGCTGCCGCTGTGTTCATGCGTCTTATCATGACCAACGGTCCTTCGATACGCTTCCCTGATCAAACGGGCTCGCAGGTGCTTCCCGTGTACATTGACAGCCACCTTATTGTCATAGTTGTGCTCATTTGTTCAAAAAGGCTATGTTCCCGCGACTTGGCTACAGCATCTCTTCCTGAGTCGCCCTGACGCGCCCTCCTCAACAATCAAGCAACTGCCCTGCTTATACGCGCCCTTCTCAATGAAGCAACTGCCCTGCTCATACGTGGCTTGCTGTTTGCAAGGCACATTTATGCTTTGCCTGCTTTCGTTGTTCTGCTTTTCCGTCTCATGCAACACACACACACACATGCAAGCCGCATCCACTGCCGGCAAATTGGGTCAGCTATGCTTGTGGCACAATGTTTAACTTGACATTGACCACGAACTTCACCAGCCATCTTGTCAGGCACAAACAGTATCATGCATATTCGGAACATGCGCATGCAAGGAAGCAAGATAACATGCATGACTCCACTGAACCCGATCGCTGGCGAGCGCTTTGCTGGTGTACAAGTGTTCATTTCATATCATGACATTGGCAGCTAGCCATAGAGAGATGATCATAATCCATGCGCGATGCACGTCGTCCACAAAGGCTGTGTACTCGGCTCAATGCTTTGCATGTTTATGGTATGTTGCTGTGAAATTGACAATCGACATTATCTTAAACAGCAAGCTGTGATCGGCTTGACAATCAAGAGCTCATTGGGGTGACAGAAGTTTCCAACAGCCCATGCATGTCAACAACTTGGAAGCTTACAGGGCAGGCCACGTTTGTTCGATTTGAAGCTGTTTAGGTCTTTGCAGCAGGGAAATCGGGCTTCAGCAGAAACAAACACACCGGCACTTGTCATCCAAAACTTGAACCAAAGAAGTAGCCGGCAAGCGCATCGTCTGCTTGATTCCGCCTGAAACGCCACATGGAATCATGGGTGACCAGTGGGGCGGAATTCCTGAGACACACACAAAAGCGCAAACAAGCATGCACTAAGGCCTTGGCATCACCTAACGCCGCCTGGGTTGCATAGAATGCCTCTTGACGTGGGCCATGCTGCCATCCAAAGGAGCTTACATGCCAAGACCGCGTGAAGCGTTGAAGCTTGCACTTCGGCCCAAAAGCCAAGGCTCGAAGGCCCCGGGCTCTGTTCAATCACGCGGTCATTATTGCTTTTGAAGCTTAAGTGATAGATAGCCTTTGCCAGCAATGCAGTTGTCAACCACAATTATTCGTCACATGGCATGCCTGCAGAATGGCAGAAAGTTCCATCATCGTAAGCCCAAACGACACATGTTCAGGCAAGCCAGTACCCCGTCCCTGACTTTGCTCGAACTAGGCTACATATCCTATTGAGATGTAATTTGCCCTCACCATATTGATTCCGGCGTTACTGTTCAATCATGAAGTTGACCCAGATGGATCTCCCTCGCCTGTTGTAGCCCGTGCTTGTCTCAGACGAAGCGCTCTGGAAAACATTGCCCGGAATTCAAACTTCTGATACTTGAGAGGAATGACAGGTGATCTAAGCGACAGGACACTTACGCCGCAAAACTCACCCCTGCCCCCCTGCAAAAAGTCCACACTTTGTGATGCTTAGTAGGCAAACAGGTGGATTTCGGAAAGTTAAAACTTCATTTAGGTTGTACTAAAGAGCAACCACGCTCCGCCAATTTGGCCGCGAGCTTTTGACGCGCTTTTGACCGTGCCTTCGCCTCGAGCTCTGCGCCGTGGGTTAAGAGAACCTGACAAGAATCCAGAAAGACCTGCCAAAGCTATGCAAGGCTTTCTAGAAATCAAATAAACAAGAAGGAAATCCGTGCAAGTCCGCAATGTACCAGTGACAGAATGTGATAAGCAAGCAACACCTCTGCAAGAGGTCGGCCCTTACCCCTGACCCTTTCACTCAATTGCATGACACTAACATCTCACGTGCTTCTCAGTGCCAGCAATTTGCCAGAGTTCAACCTGCGGCTGGTCGCTATGCCAAAAAGAGAGTTGCCTGAACTGCTCGGTAGTTGCCCTCCGAGGCCGCAAAGTGCAGGGGCCTAAGTCCTGAAACACTGAGCTGGAGACAAAAGTTGCTGCAGGTTTGTGTTTTATGGAGGGGCACCTGGTGTAAAAAACCAAAAGGGAAATCTCCATCTTGGGGGTCCCCCTATTTTGACTACCCAACTAGTTCCTAAGCGCAACTCAAACCAAACGCGCGCGACCCAGAGGCTCCTGGGGCTTTCAATGGAAGACCCGACCTCTCCATTAGACACCCCGGAGGTGTTTGGGGGTCTCAAAACCTGGCTGTTTTGAGGGCCCTAAATACATCGAGAGCCTCTGGGCACTGCAAATCTGCAAATGCTGCGTGCATGTCCTTCAACGTCGCGGTGATGGATGATATCGTGCCTAACACCGCGAGACCTCGCAAACTGAAATGACAGGCTCTGGATCCTAACGATTCCGGGGCGCAAGTTCTAATAAACAGTTGGCAATCGGCACGTTGCTCTACTGGGACCAGTAAAGTCACATCCTCAAATTACCCAGAAACAGGTGGGTTGAAGTGACATCCAACCTCTAAAAAAATGAGAACTCCTGATATTGCGATCACTTTAAGGGACCCAGGAGTAGCCAGCAAAATGGCAACAAAGCAGCACGCAGCCTGCGAATGTGCTCCTGCTTGATGGCATGTGCCTCACCAAATCTGGGCAAACATCATGCCACATGGACGAGGAACCCAAGCGAACAGGAATCACGCAAGGCAAATTCAAGTGAGACAACCACTGACTCCAGAATAATTCATCAAGCATCGCGTGGCGCATGGCATATGGACCGCACTTTTCACCGCCATTCCTTGCCGTTCCCGTCGCGGCTCAGAAGTAATTCTCCACGAAGGGCAAGGGAGCCAGCACCTGCCGAGCAATCTGCCTGGCCCACCTTCCTGTTGAATGGCTTCTAACAAAGGTTCCTTTTGGCTGCTACACACGTGATTTTGGTACAAGCTGAAACCCGTTTATGAGGACCCGTTGAACGGGCCCCCTGAGCCACTTGGTGCTGGCAACTGGTGAGAACCTGAATCTTCAAGCATCCTGGAACAGTCGCAACGCACTGTGCTCAAAGCAAGGGGAGTATGTCAAAATTCGGGACTGCCCTTGGATGAGTTTCAGAGCATGAGTAAAATACACCGTTTTGCTAAACACTATCCTCATGCAGCGGCCTCCACTTCTTCGGGGTTTGCCTGCACCATCTTCTGCGCTTTCGGCCTGAGTGCATGTCTCAGGACGGTGACATCTCGAGAGGCAAGCAAATGTATCACAAAGGAAAAATTGATTAGAAGCTGGCGTAATTGTAACGTTTGCCTAAGCACGCATTATTTTTAATGCAAGAATTGGTTCAACGTTTCTTGTGCATGGCCCAGCATATAATATGCTTGCAGGTGGTTGTTTCTTGTTTCAATCTGCTAGCATACAATGGCCTGCGATCTATAGCAACGTGAAAACTGCGTGCGTTGCAGGCGTCGAAAAGGAGATGCCATGTCAGCTACTGTTGCATGTTGTTGTTGTTGTTTTTGAGAAAGTCTCCGGTCTCCGACCTGTGACAGCTGCAGCAAGTAAGACTTTTAATGATGGACATGCACCTTCATCGACAAGGCAGTCCATATATAGCAGACACAATCATTCGTGGTGTAACCTCGACGCTTCTTGCTCGTAAGAAATGCACCATATCAACAAATATGATTCCCATTGCTGAAGTAAACTTCGCCACTACTAAGCCAGATCTAAGCTAATAAACTTCAATTGCGGTCTTATTATTCATATTTTGGAGCCAATGCTACAGCAATATGAGGCAATATTAAATTGACATTGAACCAATCTTAAACAACTTCAAAAGTGGAACAAATCCGCAACATGACGCAACTGTCTGCCTGTTTAGAATCCTTACTTAGCAATATTATTGTGAACCATTTCCGGGCCCGGAAAGGGGAGAAGCCAGTTTTCAGTTTGTATCAAAACAGCCCTTTTCATCTTTCCGAAGCACAAACATACAAGCAAAAGCCTGGCCAAAGGAAAACAGTGAGAACCCTGCTGATAAATATCGCCCCCAGGCATTGATTTTCCGGAAAGCATTGCGAGGGTTTCTTCAGGAAAACCTGGTACTCATTGCGCAAGCCAAGTTGCACTAGCAAGTTCTATGAGAGATCTTAAAAGTGAATTACCCAAGCAAGTTGAATCAGAGGTGCTAGAGCAGGAAGATACACGAGAGTCTCGCAACGCAAGTTGCACGAGCAAGCTACATAACAGATTGTTTAAGCAAGTTCCAATTAGACAAGTAGTCTAGTGAATTCACGGGTAAAAATAATACTCTTTGAAGGCAGCGGGCCCGCACGACCTCTGAAATTGGGAAATCGACCCTCTGCGGGGATTGGCGTGGTCGATGTGCAAAAACGATATTTTTGCTACTTTTGACCGTCCTCACGCAACCCTCTGCGAGGTTGACGTGCAAACATTGAGGGCTGTTGCCTCTTTTTGCGGCGCGCGTGGTCAAGCTTTCCACTTGCTTGGACTCGAAAGTTTGTTTCGTTTGCTCGACCACTCTCTCAAGCCAGCGGCCTCGGGCTCGAACCCCTGTTAGTTTGGACGAGCTTCAGATAGCAGCTTTTCCGTGCGAAAGTGGTACGTGACGTACACAGGCGCAGCTCCGGCTTGAAAATCGTAACTTTAAGCAAGAAAGCACACGCGATGCGCTGGCGCAGCTCTGGCTCGAAAAAACTCAAGTACGAATGCGGTACAGCAAGTACATGTTCGAAGCTCCGGTTTGAACATCGCAATGTTCACTGCGAAAGTAGCACGCGAAGTGCGGTTTCGCAGCTCTGGCCCGACATTTCCGAAAAGTATATGTGCGGTCGCCAGCCTTTTTGAGAGGACAAATAGCATGCTCCAAGGCTGGCGGTAGCTGCTACGTCCCGCAAAATGTTTCACAAGTTGCAACATTCGCGCATGCGCATTGCAACAATGCCGGGCCACCTGTCTGCTGGTTGTTACGGGGGGAATCAGGAACTGCTATTAGGGGCAAGGGACTACTATACTGTACTAATGCATGCAAAACACGATTCACTCTATAATGATGCTTGCAAAAAGAGACCGAAGGACCCACAATCTCTTCCCCACGGCTTATGAGCGAGATTATTGTTTGGGAAAAGAAAGAATATTATCATCTTAAAACAAATTACCGGATGTTTAAAACGCGTTGCCTTCAGGAGTCTCTCCACTCTCCACAGAACGGCGCTCCGCAATGAGGGCGCATTGGGCCCCAACCCAACTGGCTGGCGCTTGCACACGATGCTCTTGCCCTCCTTCTTGGCCTCCCACAAAAAATGACATCGATCCCCTTGTGGATTTCCAGGAGCAGGACAAAATACCCACACACACACACACGCACTTACACGCGTTGCATCAAGGGATTCGGATGTTGAAGAGAGGAAAACTGCATCCTGTGCATACCTGCGTGCTGCCAGAGTGACAATCTCATAATTCCTGATGAAATTCAAAAGTGATGCGCACCAACGTTCAAGAAGGTGGAGGCGAGGCACACAACCCTTACATCTAGCTACTAAGAGTCTAGGTGCTTTGAAGCGCTCTTTGCCCAAGCTTTCGCGCGGTTGGCAACACCCCACTGCTACGGGCACTAAGTGACCACACAAACACAAACAAATGCGTGTGAGCGCGAGCTCGTGCGCGTTCGTGTGTCTGTGCCCCCACGGATGTGTGTGTTTGTGTGTGTGTGTGGTTTGTGCTTGTATGTGCTTGTGTGTTTGAGGCCGGGGTGTGTGTGTGTGTGTGCGTTTGGTGTGTGTGTGTGTGTGGTGCGTGCGCGCGTGCGCGCGTGCGCGTCCGCGTCCGCGCGCGTCGGTGTGTGTGTGTGTGTGTGTGTGTGTGTGTGTGTGTGTGTGTGTGTGTGTGTGTGTGTGTGTGTGTGTGTGTGTGTGTGTGTGTGTGTGTGTGTGTGTGTGTGTGTGTGTGTGTGTGTGTGTGTGTTTGTGTGTGTGTGTGTGGGTGGGGGGCGCGGGTAGTTTTGTTCAGATGGCTGTGTATACATGTGGGCACGCGCGAGTATGTGCGCGAACGTACATGTGCTCGCGTGAGCTGCGTGTGGCTACATGGGTGTGTGTGTGTGAGAGTGCATGCATGTGCGTGTGTGGCATGCACGAGTGTGTGTGTGTGTGTGTCTATGCGAGCTTGGCGTGGCGTGGCGTGTCGTCAAGCAGCGTGGCGTGTCGCCAAGCAGCGTGGCGTGTCGCCAAGCAGCGTGACGTCGCGCAGTGTGCGTGCATGTGCGGGAGAATTATTAAAGCAAAGCATGTGTAAGTATGAACGTGAATAAGAACACGTTTACACGTGGATCTGTGTGCTTTGGTGTGTGTGCCTGCGCGCCGTGTGTGCGTGTAGTGCCTTCCATGTGTGTACGTGTGTCTGTGTGTGTATCCATGTCTGTGTTTGTGGCTGTGTGCATGTTTGTGTTTATGTATTTGTGTGCGAAATTGTGCATTTGTGCATTCATGTATTTGTGAAATGTTCAATGTGTGTGTGTGTGTGCTGTGAGTTTGTGTGTTCGCAGACTGGTGCCATCCCGGTATGAGATTCCTCGTCTTTGGGTGGGTCATACAACAACGGTCTCGTCCAGCTGTCATCGTGCCTGCTGCTTCTTCGCATCGTTGTCCTTCACGCGTTGCTTGAATGCCTCGACAGCGAGCGACATGACCTCTCTTTGCTCCTGACTCAACCTGGATGTGACAAGTTCGCACACCTCGCATTGTAAAAAGCAAGGGGCGGGGAAGAACTTACTTATCTGCCCACAAGTAGCTATCTTTTGGCCACATTTGACTCAATGATGGAAAACATAAGGCACGACTAAGGCAAATAGGCCAGCAATTTCTCGATCCACATTGCCGCAAGATCTGTGAGATGATTCTCGCTGCATTAATCCACACTGCTCTTGATTCCTCAAGTGTGCAAAAAAGCCTGACTAACTCAACTCTTCCCTGTCGCCTATTGTCTGCTGCGTTTGATTGTTGAATAACAAAAAGCCTCGAGCCCAAGCCAGCTGCCGGGCTCTCTGTGCAACACCCTCGCCTCATTGCAGCGAGACTTGCGCACGTGCTCGATTCGCCTTGCGACAGGTGGCAAGACTTCATGACGGCTGGAACGGGAAATACGAGGCATACATTGACGTGCAGGAGCAGTTCATATATTTGGGCTCCCCACACATGGAGTCGCTTGCGCATCTGGCGGTTGCCAACGATCTTGGTCATCTCAACACCTTGATGGCATCACATGGCTCACAGCGGCGCATCGAAAGGCTTCTTGAACTTTGCCCTCAATGGTAACTGGCAGTCATTTCTTGGATGATGAGACCAGCAAGCCAACAATGATTAGGTCTACACGCTGGGACCATGACCCAGGGCGTTGCGGTTGACGTTGAAGACGACGCCGGTGCGGCCATGATAGAATGAGTACGGCATGCCTCACGTATGCCGCGACCCCAGAACTGCGCCCGGAGCCCAAAATAACAACAAATAGTTTTAAGTTTGGCCTCCAAAACGCCGCGCTCCCGAAGCTCCGGTATCCTCCGCCCGCCTTTCTGCATGGAGGGATCCACCACGATGTCCACATAATCGCCTCGCTTGAAGTTCACCAGGTAGCGAGCCAGGCCGGGCCTCAGGATTCGTAAGTTGAAACTGATTGCAGTTTGCTTGTACTCGTTTGCATTTCGGTTTGCCAAAAGGACAGAAACATGTGTGCGAAACGGAGCATCTTGTTGGCAGCTCACAGACGGGCGCCCAACCTAGTGTTGTCTACACAACTTGTGAACAAACACACCTGAGACAAAGTCGTTGACGCGGCTGCCTGTGATAAGAGAGGCCCTCCGATGCCACTCGGCTTGAAGCTTACCATCGCACTGGCGGAAGTTTTGTTTAAAGGTTCGGGGCTTCGACTCTGCTGGGGGGCTTTGCGGGGTGAGAAACTGTCAAAGAATTGCCTTTGCACGGCTTCGCGATAAGACGTGGCTTCGCGGAGTGGCTTCGCGGATATGTTTTTAGCTAGCCAACTACTGTTAGCTAGCCTTCGCTTGTGTCAAAGCGCGGGGCCGTCGCGGAGGCGTGGAGAGAAATCGCTGCACACAATGTGTTTAACATAAGACAAGTGCCTTCGCGGATTTTTTGGGAGTTGCCCCTCAAGCTAAGATCCTTCATCTGAAAAACAATGCTGCTCAAATGTGCCACAGTCAAAACTCCCTCTGGGTCATGAATATGTTCTCGAATAGGGATCCTTACAATTGTGTCAAACCCCGACTTTACAAAAGGGTCCATGACTCCATGACCATGCCAAGTGTCATCAAGTGTATAAAAAGGGTGCCAAAGTGACAATCTCAGAATTCTTGATGAAATTCAACAGTGATGCACACCATTTTTCAAAAAAGGTGAGACAGAGTGGCATACAACCCATACATCTAGCTGCCAAAAAGTGTCTAGTGATTTGAAGCGCTCTTTGGACGAGCTGTCTCACTTTGCCAAGACGCACCGCTACGGCACTAAGTGACCACAACAACTAAAAAGGGTGCATGCGCGTGCTGTGTATGTTTGTGTGTGTGTGTGGGTGGGTGGCTGGGTGGCTGGGCGGGCGGGTGTTTTGTGTTTGTGTTTGTGTTTGTGTTTGTGTTTGTGTTTGTGTTCGTGTTCGTGTTCGTGTTCGTGTTCGTGTTCGTGTTCGTGTTCGTGTTCGTGTTCGTGTTCGTGTTCGTGTTCGTGTTCGTGTTCGTGTTCGTGTTCGTGTTCGTGTTCGTGTTCGTGTTCGTGTTCGTGTTCGTGTTCGTGTTCGTGTTCGTGTTCGTGTTCGTGTTCGTGTTCGTGTTCGTGTTCGTGTTCGTGTTCGTGTTCGTGTTCGTGTTCGTGTTCGTGTTCGTGTTCGTGTTCGTCGTTCGTGTTCGTGTTCGTGTTCGTGTTCGTGTTCGTGTTCGTGTTCGTGTTCGTGTTCGTGTTCGTGTTCGTGTTCGTGTTCGTGTTCGTGTTCGTGTTCGTGTTCGTGTTCGTGTTCGTGTTCGTGTTCGTGTTCGTGTTCGTGTTCGTGTTCGTGTTCGTGTTCGTGTTCGTGTTCGTGTTCGTGTGTGTGTGTGTGTGTGTGTGTGTGTGTGTGTGTGTGTGCGTGTGCGTGTGCGTGTGCTCATGCTTGCGCACGTATGCGCATGCGTGTGTCTGTGTGTATACGTGCATACTATATACTTCTCATGTTGCGTTACCTGCTTGGCCAGTTCAGAACAGAACTGAGATCATTCTTCTTCACGCAATCACCTCCTCAAACGATACAAGTGTCAATGCAACAATTCACAGGCCTTTCTCCTTCCACAATGGCAGATCTAAAGCAGATTATTATTCCCCTACAATTTCCAATGGGTCTCCGAACAGGGGGTCCCCAAAAAGTAGATTCCTCTACAACAGTTGCCTTTTTGCTACTTTTCGGGAGCGGGGGGGGGGTTCCATGTTGAATCTTCGTGAGAGTCATGGCTTGTCAACCCGAAAGCTCAGGGCCCGCCTGCCCTTGGTGCGGTACTTCTTGGAGTACCTTGCCACGCCACACGGCGAGTCTGCCAGGACACCGTCAAAATGCAATGTAATACTGTTACGCTTCAAAGCCATGCTGCCAAGCCCATTTTGTCCCACTTGTTGAAGCCCGAACAGTCCAACTTCGGGTCTGCTCTAGACTCTAGACCCTTTGTACCTGAGGGTACCCTGCGGGTGTGTCAAGCAGCACCATGTTTTGACATGAAACACCGTATATCAAGCCCTAGTACGTGAATACTGCTTGCATCACTTAAGCTGATTTCTTCAGTACATGTAGCATCCAGCAGAAAGAACATCTGAAGTCAATCAAGGCTCTCACATCAAGAGCTGTCTGAACATTTTTATTGCCTTGTCGCATCAGGTTCTAGTGGCATGATGGCCTCCTCAGGAGTTTCATATCATCTGCGTGGGTTTATCAGAATTTCAGCCGTCCAAGCTGCGTCTGAGAAATAGCACAGCCTCCTCATTGAGTCAATAACCTGTTGCTGGAAAACTTACATTACTCTGCATGTTGAACATGCGTTGGCACAGCCTCATGTATCAGCACACATATTGCCCTTTCTAGCTCAAAGCGTGACATGATTTTCGGCTTCAGCAGTCATGCAGCATTGACTGGACAGCCTTCTTACTGCTTCCCGTGCATAAAGTCTGCATGGGTCACCGACAGGAATGTTGCGGACCAGGCACTTGTCACGGGTGCCATGACGGTAACCTTTGGAGATCACACGCGTCTTGCCCATGACTCAGTAGGCCTCAGCGCGTTGAACAAGCTGCTAGAAGCAAACCTCGCTGAACTCAAAGCGTGCCGAGAATGTCCACACGGTCCACACATGTGGCTACACCAAATTCGGCAACTCTCAAGGCTGGCAAATGCATGTCAAGAGGCGAGCGGCGAGGGGTCAGGGGGCGGAAGTACGGGCGGCTAACCGACCGAGCCGTGTGGCTGCAAGGCGAATTACGGTCTTGTGCAGTTTGAACTTGGAAAGCTCCCCCATTCTAATACCAGGGGTCGATGTCAAACTGTTCTCAGTGTTCTCAGGCTTGGATGAAGACGACCGCCTTGGCACATCCCTACTGCATGTATTGGAGATTGCCAGACATGTCAATAACAAGCAAACTGAAGTCCCAATTGATGATTGTTTTCCAGATTGGCAACAAAAACATAAGACATGCAGCGACATGCATGTATTGGCCACTACTTGTGTAACAAACACGACGTGATATTAAGGACACCTACAACCCAGGCAGCTTTGCACCGGTCCGGAACATCTGCAAAGTGGGGTTGATCGCATCGCCCGCCTCACTATCCAGAAGCTTGCTGCAAAGGATCTCCAGCAAGCCAGGCCTTGCTCGCATCAGGCACGTGGGGGTCTGAGGCTGCACTTCATGCGACCAATAAGGCGAGCGGAACCAGGCATGTTGCTTCTATCTGCATATCTGGCCACTACCTGCCATCTTCTCCAAGTCCGCTTGCATCTTTGGATTGGCAGCAGCTCCCTCTGACCGGATGTGTCCGAGATCTCGCCTTTGATATTCAAGGCCCCCCGCCCCGGCTGTAGCTGGAAGCGCCGGCTGCTCATGACCTCGTCCAGCTGGCGTCCCCTGGGATACGGCAAAGAACAGGAGGTCGCAGGTCACTGGTTGCTACATCCACAGAGAGGCTAGCCTGTGCAAAGTGAGACATGCATTCCCAACCAACCGACCGAGCAACCGACCGACCGACCAACAAAAAAACAAACAAACAAACAAACAAACAAACAAACAAACAAGTAAACAAAAGAAGTAAACAAAACAAGTAAACAAAACAAACAGTTAAACAACCACACACGCACACACACACACACAGCTCAAGGCTTTTTATTTTTATTTTCTGGTAGGCACCAAATAACAGGCGCCATAAAGGAGGACATTATTATTCACCTGCTTGTCACCTTGTAAGGCTAAGCGGATTAAGACATACAAATTATGCTGCTACCCACAGGCAAAATAATTCATATCATGGTAATTGCCACTGTGCGCGATTCTCGTTGTCCAAGTTAGTCAGCACATGGGCGGAGTGCGTTCTCCATGCTTTCCTGAAAGGTCCAGCACAAAACCATCAGCAGCCATCAGAAACAAGCCGTTGAAAGTGCAAGCGCAGGAACATCAGCATGACCATTTCGACCAGGCTGACAGCCAAGGAGCTCTGCAAATTCGAAGCAAGAAGTAAGCAGTAGCCTGGCCGGTCAAAGCTGCGGTACAAGCGCGAATTGTTGGGGAAGGCAAGTTCAACTTCAACAAAACCCAGGGCTCACTCCGCGAAAAGGCCATCGAAACCGTTGGCCTGAAGACTTGGAAGCAGCCAGCGTAAGCATCTCGGATAGAATAGTGGAGGCAGGTGAACTGGTGCCGGTCCTGCCAGAGTAAAGCACATGGTAGCAGTACAAGAAGCTGAAATACAACTACAGATGCAGCGGCTAAACTTCAAGACGTTCTGGTAGTAGTAGTGCAAATTCATGGCAACGCCCATGCTTACAGGACTTTTCCCAGGCATGGCCTCAGCCAGCACCAGTGTGCGCCAAAGATCTTCAAGCCCTCGAAGGTAATCGACCTTGGCTCGATTTCAATCCTTTGGTGGTGCTTGCTTGTGTATTGATTGATGGGAACGTTGCAAATCCTTGCAAATCAGCTCCCTGAAATCAGCACACATTGCAACGCGATGTGTGAATCAACCTGTCTATCGTGCAAAACGACGGTGCTTTTGCTGAAAACAAGGACCTGGACCCTGGAACGTGATCCTGAAGTGAACACGCACACAAAGGAAACACATCCGATTCTTGGTTCTTGAAGCAAATACAGCCGCAAGTCAGGTACTGCTGGTGGTATCTGAGAATGATCTGAAGCAACAAAGAACACCAACTGTTGCGCATTGGGTCCCTACCCTGTGGCAAATGGACTGCATGTCAGCTAGTCGGCCACCTTGACCTGGGCTCTGGCCAAGGCCTGCCGTGCTGCTCGCTGCACAGCCAGCTGAGGATCTTCCCAAAGCTCGACCGGCGCCATGCCTAGGCAAAGGGCCTGTTGAAAAGGCATTCTGACAAGTACTGTCTTGAGTACAACAGAAGCAATGTTGTGCCACACAAAAACTATTTGCCTTGAATTGTCTACGTAGGTGCTTGACAGTAGACCCTCAAATATGTGTGGTGCATACGCTCATATTCGACATATCATCACGGGGTCGGCGTGTATTCTCAGTGCTATTTTCTGGCACTTTGTCAGAAGCAATCGTATTGAATAGGTTGACCAGAATACAATATCTTTCTGCTGCGGGTGTTGATCTGCATCATGTTCTCCGGAGAATCGTCTTTTCAGCCACGACAATTTCGTTTGCCTCTTGCTCTCTGAGGCCATTTTGCTGCTGCTTGCCTGGAGGGCTTCTTCCTGCACCCACTGCGCGACTCCTTCCGATAAGGTTCTTGAGCTTTCACCAATATTTTGCGGATCCTTTGTACAACTTGCTCGAAAATGGCCCAGCCAACGCCAAGGCTTTTGAACTATTCTCAGCATAGGCGAGCAATCAAGGATGCAAGCAAAGGTTTTGCACATCTCCCGGTCTACAGGCGGCCTGCAGCTATGCAAGAAGAGCACAAGTATGTCGCTAAAAGGCAATGCTGTATTTTCAAATTTCCCAAACAAGCAAGTCTCTCTCGCAGATTCCTTGCGGGCGCGAAGCTTGCAATGTCTTGGTGCGCTACATGGTGAGTCCTTACAAGCACCTTTTTGTCAACTCTCATTCGCAGCAAACATCCATATGAGATGTGTTTCTATTTTCCCTTCCACCAAGCTTCTGCGGTGTGAACGGTTACTTACGCTTTTCGCGGCCACAGTGTTGTTCATGTTGGGCTTCTGTTCGCAGAGCTTCCGCCAAGCGAACTCTTCCGCAACCTTCCGCGCCTGCAGTCTCATGAACGTTTTCCATGAATCATGTCCATCCGCTTTCTTGGTACAATATGTTCATTTCACATTCGGACTCTTTTGCACCAGTCAAAGCTTAAGGACAACCCGTAGTTTGTCTCCAATCGAACGGCAGTGTTTGCCATCTTGTGACGCTTCAAAAGGCCCAGCACTGAAGTTGCCAATTGCCTTGTCTGAGAAGCAATGCTACTCGCTTCAACTCAATCAATCTCGCCTTTAGCAGCTGCCCACAGCCTCTCTAACTCTCTAGCTCTCTCTAGCTCTCTAGCGCTCTCTCTCTCTCTCTCTCTCTCTCTCTCTCTCTGGCCCCAGCGGTTTTGCTGGAAGCTTCGAATCGCAGCGACACGCAGCCTGTGCGAAGCAGAAGGGCAAAACGTGGCTTCAGAGATATTGCTCACAAAAGCGAATCCACCCCTCTCCTTCCCCAACCAATCATCAAGTCTTTGCTCAACGCTCGATGGAAAGCTGCTGATTTAATCGGGATGACTGCGGCTCAATAATTGCAAGACATGGGCACTAGCACTCGAGACACCTCTGAACAAACACATCTCAAAATATACGGAGCCGTGTAGGCTCAACTAGAGACTCTAGGTGGAAGTACACAGAAGGTCGGGTAGCAAGACCCTGCCTGTAAACTGCAGTACCGATAAGAAGCCGCGCGACCTCAACCTGCCAGCCAGCAAGCATCCTTGTTCAAACATGACTCCAACATCGGCAATTTAACAATCTCGATTTGAGTGTCCCATCTCTTCAGCCAACGTTGCGCCAAAGACGGCAGCATGTTGATTCGGTGTTCAAATAAGTGCCAGGCGGCTTTGAGTCAAGTTGCCGCTTTGGATGCAAGACAGTCTGATTTCGAGCTGAGACAACGGTGTCTTGCTGACTGCCTGGCCCCGGGAGGCTGCGACATGGAGCGGCGTGCGATCCTTGAAGCAGCCACGGATGCCGCGCTGTTCCGCTGAATGGACTGTAAGCTGTCTAAGTAGACCGTACTCTTGACGTGAATGTACCTGGGGATTGACATTTGGCAATCGTCAAACACAGAGCTGAACTTGCTCGGTTGGGTGCATGCCTGCTGACTCTGATGTGGCTCATACATTGTCCCAGAACAAAATTATGTTCATGCGTTACAGCAACCTTGACCGGGTAGAAGTTTCTACAATGTTCCGATGTGTTGACAGCGGCCCTGATCACATGCTAGTTTGCCCACAACAAGGTCGTGACTCTCATTGACGTTGCCACGACAAGTTGATGTCACCCTCAACTGCTATATGGCTTCAAAGGCTGCCAGCCCAACGTCTCACAGTGTCCTCAGCATCACGTAGCAGCGTGTCCGCGCCAGCTTGCAGCAAAGCTTCCGTTACCTAGCATACGTTGGCACGTCAATGCCTGTGTCTGATTGGGATCATAGTGTATGCAAGTAGTGTATCCCGGTCACCAGTAAGAACTGCGTTTGAGCAAAGTGGTGAGAACATGACGAGGACGTTAATCTTCTACTTGAATCTCCACATCGCGTCAGGGGCTTGCTGGCGGGGGGGGGGATGGGAGAGAGTGGCGGTGAAGGGCGTGCCAACTCAGCGGGTATTGCCTGGACACGAGGAGCCTTCTGAGTTGTGTTAAGGGTTGGCTACTACTTGCATGCCTGCAACCACTCCATCTTGGCCCTAGACTAATCCAAAGGGCAACCTGCAGTGACAACATGGCCTTTCCCCAAAAGAGTGTCATATTCATCCAGAAGGTTCAAGCTGCCCCAACCAATTGACGTTGCACAAACTACTGTGTTGGTCACACATACAAGCTATGCTTGGACGTGTTGCAGTTGCATATCTCCACCAATTCCAGAAGCTGACGCCACTTGAACACAACATGAGCAACGGGGCAAACGAAACGCAAAGCTTAGGTGGGAGCAAGCATTCTTGTGCCATCGTCAATTCTCATAGCTCAGTATCTATCATCCACCCATGCGCTGCACAGTGCTCCCGATGCAATGTCTATGCCTCCGCGGACCCGTTGAAGGCAGCGTGGTGAAGCGCTGTACAACGTCGAGAGTCCGGACCTTCACAAGGGGACCCAGGGATTGTCAGCCGACCTACGGCTGTGGGGATGTAGCTGTGCAAACAATGTGCCTTTTTTGATGTGTCTACTCGCAGCCCAAAACGTCTGGATGCAGAAGCACAATTGCCAGACCTGTTGGAGAGAGCAGATTCCTCCAGGCAAGAGCTTAGCCTCCAGCTGTTCACAAAGAAATCGTCTGCACATCTCTCGGCCTGCAACAACAGAGTGAGTTGAACCAATCCCAACACCATGGGCACCATTGCACCCAAAGGACAACAATAACTTAAAATGACTTAATTGAAAGTTGCACTCAAGTGTCTCTCACATCAAATTGCTGGCTCATGCTGGGCCTTTTCGCCCTTTTCATCTTGCCATCTACAAGATTATGCTGCGCAGTTGCTTGCCTACCGCTACGCACACGTCCGTGCTGGCCTGCTGCAAGAGGTACTGGACACTTGTAGCATCGCCAATGGCAGCAAAGTAGCACAACCTCAAGGTCGCAGCCGATGCAAGCATCCGCAGAGTTCAAATGGACTCCAATGCTATTCTGCAGATCTTCGCAGCTATTCTCTGGTTACGTTGCTGTGCCTACATTGACTTCTGAACCATTCAGTTCATGACCAATGTCAGAAAGGTTGCCACTCCTTTAAGGCTTCCGATTCAAGGAGTCGTGGCAGCAAAGGGTTCGCTCACGGCTGAAGCCAATGAACACTTCATGCCAGCGATGTCTGGGTTGTTCAAGAAGAAGGAATCCCTCATATCCGAAGTGTACAACACCCCTACAATAAGGGAAAACATGACAATGTGGCACCAGGATTCAGACTTGATTTGAATTATGTACAGGCTCCTTTCTGTCTGGCGCCCCCGCGAGCCCGGCTGCAGATGTTGGTATCTCAGTGCCACCACGGGAACCTTGCGAAGCCAATCGATCAGCCGATCGACCAGGCGGTGATTGAGGTCTCTATCAGGGAAAAGTACAAGGGAGATGAAGGAGCGCCATTAAGGAATGGAGCACAGGGAGCAGCCCCAGAATTCTTGAAGCAAAAGCTTGTGCAAGGCAATCTAGGCACTGAGATTTCATCATGTTGGATTATTCTGTCAATGCAAGCTATCAAAGGATCGCACCAAGAAACAACATAAATGGGCGGAAGGAAATGCTTCTTCAGCCTGTCCAATGCAATACCCAAGTTGGCTGTTTCTGCATGACCAGTTTGACGCTCTTTGCTTGTTGCTGAAAACAACACTTTCGTAGGAAGCTGACCAAAGAAGAATCACGGCAACAAGCACAGCCGTGCTGACAAGCAGAAGCTCGCACTCTCCTTCGGTCAAACCACGCAGAAACCGGCCCTTTGTCCATACAAACTGGGGCAATGGGCCAAAGAAAGCACAACCCCCCCAGCGAGGCTTGTGGCTACAGCTTGGTTCGGTAGAAATGGAGGAACCCCCAACATAGGGGTCCGTCCCTTCATCCCTGACGCAAATTCTCTGGTCTCAGACGCTTCCCTGCCCGGCCTTGCGAGCACGCAACACAATCTGCGGCCTCCCGGGCCTCACGACGTATATCCAGGTCCGCGGGGCCCCTTTCGTCCCCCCGGACCTTCCCAGCTTAACCCACCTGAACCGATTCAAATTCAGCCACATATAAACCCTCCCACCCTAAACTAACTCTAGAACCACCTAAACCAACCTTAAATAAACCCTGAACACACCCATGCCAACTCTACTCCACGCCCGAAACCCACCTAAACCAACCTTCTAAGCCCACCTAAACCAGACCAAAATCAACTTTAAACCAGCCCTGAGCTAACCCAAATCCTACACCAAGCCTAATCCAACCCGAAACCAGCCAATATAATTGCGTTGTTTAACCCAAATTGAAAAACAAATCACCCAAAACCAAACCGGTATTACCAACTTAGTACAACCCCCCCCAACCACAAGGGATCATAAATGTATGACATCTATGCTTCAGAGCTTCCATTTCTGGGGGGAGGTAAATTGTTGTGGCCTATCAAAGTACAGTGGTTTGCAAATGCCTTGCTTTGGATGGCCAAAGTCAAGCCACATTCATTGCTCTTCTTGCGCTAGCAGCGAGTAGTCAGCGTTGGCAAAGCAGAATGCTTGGGGCCGCTAGCGGGCTCAGTGGCTGGGATTGTTGGCAGTGGGCATCACTCGGGGTGTCATTGGCGGGTTCGTTCGGGTTTGCGTTCAGGGTGTTTTCAGATACATGTTTTCTTCAGCAGCTTCGTATGAGACGGTCATGCAATGCTAGCTTTGGCAGTTGCCATGACTCTGTGATCGATACCTGATGAGGCACAACTAGCGTTTGGCTAGCTAGTTTAGAACAGCTCCATGTTGCCGCACGGCGTCACAGCCGCAGACCCGCAAAGACATGGTGCGACTTGGCTGCAGCTGTAGCAATGCATGATGTGGCCTCACCATAGATGCATATTACAGACAACCATAAACATCGCTAACTGACAAGGACGGACACCGAGGGCTGCAGAAACAGGCTTGTCAATGCTATTGGGCACTCCCGCCTTGATGACTTTGACGGAGATGGAGATGGTCCAGGGCCCAAGATGTCATGCAGAATCTCAAGGTCCTGGCAGTGCTGAGAAGAACTCCAAGTTGCAAAAAGCATGCAGTGCTTGCAACACTCCTTCAGAAAATCACAACAATATCTAGGGAGTGCATGAGAGGAACGCCCCAATCTGTTTGGCCCCGCGAACTTCGGCATTGAACAGCAGCGCGCAATTCTGTCTCCTTGTTCCGCTGATCGCGCTCAGAGCGAAGCTGGGAAATCTTCCCCAGCACCTGCAAATGGTGTCCATCACAAAAGCCAAATCCCGAACAATGGACTGTCGTGAGTCACAGTGCGTGTGCACTGTGCTAAACGACAATCTCTGTACGCCACAATTTGCTCGAGATTGCTGCTCGAGTTGGTGTAGTAAAGTGTCATGTTTGCTGTTTGCTGCAAGTGCGTCATAGGTTTCTGAGCATCTATTGGGATCACTTTGACTGTATTCAAAGCACTGCAGAAAAAAGCAGCTAGGCATCCTGCCCTTACAGCAAGCCTCTTAGGGAAAGAGCGAGAGAGAGAGAGAGTCAGAGAGAAAGACAGAGAAAGATAAGGAGAAAGATTAAGAGAAAGAGAGAGAGAAACAGAGCCAAATAGAGAGAGAGAGAGAGAGAGAGCGAGAAAGAGAGAAAGAGAGAGAGAAAGAGAGAGAGAGAGAGAGTAAGAGACAGAGAGAGAGAGAGAGAGAGCGAAAGACAGAGACATATAAAGAGAAAGATTAAGAGAAAGAGAGAGAACCAGAGCTGGATTGGTGGGTTTAGGTTTAGTTAGTTGTTGTTGTTTTTTGGCTTGGGGGGGGGGTTGGGTTTAGGTCTTTAGGGTTTAGGTTATTGTTGGGTCAAAGTTTCGGTTTGTTTGGCTTAGGTTGAGGATTGTTGGGTTTAGGTTTAGTTGGTTGTTGTTTTTTTAGGTGGGTGGGGGGCGGTTGGGTTAGAGAGAGTAAGAGACAGAGAGAGAGAGAGAGAGCGCGAAAGACAGAGAAAGATAAAGATAAAGATTAAGAGAAAGAGAGAGACACAGAGCTGAATAGAGAGAGAGAGAGAGAGAGCGAGAAAGAGAGAAAGAGAGAGAGAGAAATAGAGAGAGAGAGAGAGTAAGAGACAGAGAGAGAGAGAGAGAGCGAAAGACAGAGAAAGATAAAGAGAGAGAGAGAGAGAGAGAGAAAGAGAGAGAGAGAGAGATGAAGAGAGAGAGAGAGAGAAAGAGACAGAGAAAAAGAGAGAAAAAGAGAGAAAGAGAGAGAAAGAGAGAGAGAGAAAGAAGGGAGAGAGCGCTGCACTGGCTTCTAATTGCGCAGTGGCTGCTTATGCTCTTTGATTTCATGCGACCTTTGGCCAAACAGAAAGACAATGCAAGCCCACCATTTTCAGCTATTTGTCTTTGGAAAGCCCTATACAAGCCACACCAAACACGCAAAGCAACTGACTTCCCTCCCGCGAAGGCATATGCGCAACCGCAAGCAAATGCCGTTTGCAATATCAACTGCCCTGGCTGCTCGAGTTCCTATTGCTATTTTCCGGAAGAGCAGCTAGTTGCCTGCCTCCGCGGCTTTGTCGAAGGGTCTGCTGAGCTCTGCAACCTGGCACCGGGCGAGGGTTGGGCCTACCACTTGATTGGACATGACTTAAAGCACTTCAAGGCAAATCATACCATTAGGTCACTTGGATGGCCATGAGGTGATGTCGCTTGTGCCAAGCCAAGCATGCTCACACCAACGCTCCGCGTAACAGCAAGAAGCTTGTTGACCAAGGTTGGATCAAGTTGATCAACACTTCACCGAAGCGGGCCATTTTCCTCAGCCTGCTCCTGGGCAGGCGCTCCAACTTCTCTGCAGGAGGACAGTGCCTCTTCTAAACCTTTTGGCAAAGGCATTTTCACCTGGATGTACCTGCCTGCTGTAAAGCGCAGGCTGGATCGGTGCAAAAAGTTCTGGGGGCACCAAGCATCGGCCAGGTGGGTGGACTGCGATGAATATCTTCCATCGCGGACCACTGCGTGGCCCACATGGGCCAAATGCACCCTGATCTGGTGCTTCCGGCCCGTTCCAATGCGGATCCCTAGTAAGCTGAGGGCCCTCGCTCGGCGCAGGTAACGGGAACGACCCTTCAGGGTGGTGACTGAAGGGCGCCCAAACCTTGGGTGAAGGCTCGTGTACTAGAAATTGATGGCCCAGCCGAGAATGGTGTTGCTGCAAAGCGATGCAACAAGTGCACGACACTCATCAAGTGCCCCCTTTGTGGCTGCACTGGATTGAACATGACTTATGCAAATGCCCTCACACACACACACAGCTCTGATTGATGATGTGCCTACAGGACTGGCCAAGTTTTCCATCTGATGATGTGGCAAGGCATGTACGTTGCCAACATACTGTAATAACAAACAGCCAAACAAACAAACAAACAAACAAGCAAACAAACAAACAAGCAAACAAACAAACAAACAAACAAACAAACAAACAACCAAACAAACAAGAGCACAAGTTCCTTGTCCACTTCCGCCAGGCCACCTTGCAACTGAACTGCTGGCATCTCGGCCGTCAGTCCACCAGTGCACGGGCGCCCGCACACTGTGGCGTGCCACAAAGCCGTGGCAAAGCACGGTGTAGTCCTTGCGTTCCGGGCCATATGCAGAGTAGCAGTTTTGCCGCAGCTTGAATTGCATACGGTGTGTGCATGAAGACAACAATCAGTCTGTTGGCTTCACAGAAACATGATTCGAGCCAAAGAAAGCACCGGGCCTCAAATGAGTGAGCCAAGTCTCCCGAAGCAGGGAGCCACTGGCCAACTGTAGGCGCAAATCGTAGAATGACCTGTGGTTCGTGGCCACCAGTATGAGGCCTCCAGGGCGTCAGAAACTACACCAGTGGTTCTGCTACTGAAAACGCTGCCCCCTTCTGCCCGCTGCTGCAGTATGATCACAGAACGTGCAGACTTGAAGCCTGATCATGTGGCTTGCATTGATGGAGGCGGCGTGTAATTGTCCCTACAATGGCCCTTCTTCGATCAATGAGCCCTCTGATCAACATTCAATTTGCGAATGGGCACATAGCAAAATCAACAACTGCCCTTGCTTCCAATGTCCAACAGAAATTTAGACGTGCGTTCACCACGTTTACACTCGCATGTTCATTGACTGCAGCTGTCTGGGGCAACCAAGTAAGTAGAGATCGGCTGGTCAGCGATTGGCTCGCGTCCAGTCGTCAGCTGGCTTGCGATTTGTTCGGTCTAGCTGTTTGCTCAGAAAGGCTAAATGGATTTGGCATACGCGGCACAATATACGTCCAGCCAAATGATTCTACAGTGCAAGCACAAAAGGTTCAGAGCATCTCACATGTGCATGTCAGGTCCACCTGATGATCTGCCCTGACGAATGCTGTCTCACTTCACGTTTTTCGGGCTAGATGTGAGACGTGATAGACAAGCAGGGGGACAATGTGGGCCTTAATCCTATCACTCAGCAGCACAGGTTGGTGTAATCAATTTATCGTCTTGAAGCAAGAAGCTTCTAATTAGGTAATTTCATAGGTGAGCTGAGCTCGCTCTGCTATCCATTTCATGCCATACTGCGGATTCGTTTCGGCGATTCTGCAGTCACGTTGTATTGTCCCTTTAAGTTGCGAAAATGCGCTTTTGCCAAGCCGTCCTGTTGCACGCGGCTCTTCATTTCAGGATGTTCCACAGGCCGCGGATTCGCTCACACCCGCGCTTTCATCGAACAAACTCTAGCACTGACCAGAAGGAGAACTTGGGAGCATGCTGTATTGTAGCACACTGAGAAATGTGCAACTTCCAATGAAGTCCAGTTCGAAAGACTTGCAACTCACCAAAGTACCAATACCCATGGTGAGAGAAGCTGGCCATGCCAAAATCAAATATAATTTCGAGCAAATGCACGGGGCCTGACGTAGGGACGTCCAGCCTGTGCAGGAAGCCATGGCCGAAGGCATCATCACCTGCGAAGCCAGCTGCCAAATGCATGTTATCTCTGTCAAGAACCATGATTGGCAATTGGAAAGCGCATGGCAAGTGTGCGCTGACTCATGCAGGCAATGTCCAGCTGGTAAAACCACACTTGTCGATCCACATAGTGACAGGTTTGAGGGCTGAGGTTGTCACCTAGCAAAGGAAAGCGGCGCAATGGCGCCATCCCTTGAACCTCGGCTGCAGAAGGCTCATGTCACGGGTGTCACAGCCTATCAAGCATCGAGTCCTTGCTTTCGTCAAGACTTCTGCAACCTTCACAGATAGCATTGTCAAGTCGCGGCTGTGCAACTGTCAAATCATATTACGCTATCGCCTCATAGGAAAAGGGTACGTTCGTGAAGATTCAATCACTCAAGTTGTTGTGACAGATGTCCCCAGGCTACAATCTTGCAAGGGCATGTTGGCCATTGTGCTTCATTATGAGTTGGTGTGCAAACCAGAGTGGATTTTCAGCAAACCACAGGCAGCTGCTCACAAACTGTTTGGAACGGGAGCCTTGCTGTCTTTGATGCTTAGCGACTGGTACTACTTCCTAGTTACTATTTACAAATTGCTCGTTGCTAATCCCCAGCAGCGGTAGCAGTAGCAGTAGCAGTAGCAGCAGCAGTAGCAGCAGCAGTAGTGGTAGGACTAGAAGTAGTAGGAGAGAGTGTAGTAGCAGTACAAGTATCAGTAGATGACATCATCATACTATGTCCAAACCGGGGTATCGCTTTACGAGACGGTTCCATCACTAACCTGCTTGTTGTCATACAAGTTTTGAGAGGCCCTTCACACCCGAATACATGTTGAATTCAATGTGAGACTTTGGGATGGTGAGCATGTCCTTTAGTTTTGTCACCGTTAGAATCAATCAACAAGTTCTTGGTCAAGGATGTGTCTAATACATGCATGACTCCATTCCGCTGAAAGATAACGCTCTTCATTTCAGTGAAAATCCTCATGGAGTATAGTATAGGTGTCTCATCGATGGTGGCGAAGTCTGGGTGCGCTTGCAAAGTCATAGGCAGCAAGCGCTGCCAGTAGCCAAGCAGCGAATCCAGACAATCGGCAAACGTCTTCGGAGATGGGGCCACTGGCGTCGTCCACCTGCCAGCCTGACCACGGGTGCTGCTCTTGAGCGGCTTGCTGGGTCCCACTTGCCAAGTGACCCTGATTGAATAGGACGACCCTTTTTTGGAGTATCCATGTGTGGAAGGAAAAAAGGGAACAGGGCGACAGTGGCAGGTGGGGGCAGTTGTAAGTTCAATCAACCGGGTTGCTAGCACTAAGCCTACTTGCTGGCGAGGTTAACTTACCGGGTCTCAGGACACGCTCACAAGTGCTGCTTGTCTTATGTTTCAGGCAATCCCCCTGTTGAGCCTATCTTCTTTCCAGGCTGTTGCCAAACCTCAAAAGTCACGGGAAGTTGGAGTGAAACGGAGCCTCCCCTTGACCAAACATATACAAGGGTGCCTGGTGTCCAAGCGATACATGGCGCTCAACGTGATTATTGCATCATGCTGCCTCATTTCGAGTTGTGTCTCTTGTGACCCCGGCTGGTTGCCTACCACTGCATCCCCGCCCCGTTAAGGGGGGGACGTCTGAAAATGTAATTTGCATTTTCTGGGTTTTGGCACCTAAAAGTGTAAGATTACATTTTCTTCCGGGGACGTGTCAAATGTAAGATTTTATTTTGGACGCTGGTGGACCTATCAGCAAGGTACCTCGCACATAACCAAGTTACAATTATGAACTTGCCCCACTTCAAAAGCCTCTGTGCCTGCGCCACATCTGCCCCGCCAGCATCATCAGCTTACACTTTGCGACTCCCCCAACTTTTGTTGGGGAGGGGGGAGAAAAAGTAATTTTCGACGTGGAGTTACATTTCCTCCCCCCCCCCCTCCCCCCAAAAAAATGATATCACCCGGATATATACACCTGCCCCCCCCTTACTTTTTTTTTTTGGGGGGGGGAGGCCGAAAATGCATTTTCAAACGTCCCCCCGCATTTTCGGGCCTAAACGGGGTGGGGATACTGTATCTAACAAACAGGGTCAATCCATGCTCTCATGGATAGCAGGGATGCGCTCACGCACAAACATGGGTCCCTGCAAAAGGCCAACAAGGACACCATTGGAAACCGATATGGGTGTGTCAAAATGGTGACCACTTTTTGGCTTCCCTTTAAACCAACCACAAACAAAGGCTATCCTAAAAACACGCACATCAAAGCTTGTCTTCCGAGGTTTGGGCCATCAAATGCAAAGTTGGGTCAAAGCCTACGGGCACCCTAGGAATGGACACAAATTCTTCCGCATGTCTGTCCAAAGCGCCGATGAAACATCGGTTTCAACATGGGCCGTCCATCCAACCCCGCTCGTCCCTCGTCCGCCTGCCGGCTTCAGCACCACCAAGGTGTCCTGCGCCTCCATCAGCAGCTGTGGGCTAGACACTGACCTGAGCAAAAGCGTTGGTCGTTAGCGCCGCCTGGCGAAACGTGGCCTGTGATGGTGCAAGGAAATGGCAAACACAAGGAACCTGACGACGAGCATAGGTCAGCTGGCAACACAATTATCAATTGCAACAAAAAGCCCAAGCATCCAACATGCAATACTCCACAAGTTCAACCTGTTGCAGACAGGAAACAACACAACGTCTGTGAGTGCCAAATCATACGACAAACGGCTCTCGCAGTTCAGTGAGTGGCAAAGCATGGGGGCATGGACTGCGTAAAGGCCTCAGCCTTCATCCAGCTCATTGTATAGGAAACCAAATGCCACCCCACACCCCAAGCAAGGTTCTTAGAACCTTCTTGGCAGGTCACAGAGTCACAGGGTTTGGACGATCTTTCTGGTGGGCCCCTGTCTCTCCTTAGGCAGCGCACCTCCACATGTACAAATGACCAGGAGCTGGCAGCCCGAATTCCGGGCACAGGCGATGCCTCAGCTCGGAAGCAGCCAACATGTTTCTCACAATGGGCGACCTAAAGAATGGCGCCTGTTCCTACCAGCATACACCAACCAAAAAGGCTTGCCAGTTTGAGACCTCCCCAAATGACCCATCACTCCTGAGGCTCAAGTTGGCCTGATGAGAGCGGAGGTTTCTGTAAGAGTGGCGCACCAAAGGCAAAGGCAAACCAGGATGACGGTGGATACGCAGCTCACACATACACAAACGCGCGGGTTCTGTGTCTTCGAGACAGGCCGATTTTGAGGCGTTTCGTGCCTGGCAAACATGACGCATCACCTGGATTAATCTAATAGCTGCTTCAAAATGTCGTGCCCTTAGCGCAGAAGAGCGCTCATTTCATATCCAGCAGGGTCCTCAAATTCAATCATTCCGGGCACGTCAGTTTTTTGTGGCAGGCCCTGCCTATTGCCAGGTTGCTTCAAAATGAAAGATTCCAACCCGCTAGGTTACGGGCTCTCCAGGGATCTGTTCTTGCATATTGAGTTGGGCTTACTTCACATTTCAGTCCCATTTGAAATGAACAACGCAGTTCGATGCGTCCTCAGTATGGCAGCCCCAGCCTGCTGCCAGTATGGCACACCTTTTGAACTCGCAAGGGTCGCAGTGCAAATGCAAAGGCGCGGAATCCGCGAATGAGGGTTCGGCGCGCGCGCGCGCGGCATTTGTGTGCGAGTCTGGCGTTTGGCTTTCGTCTCACTAATACGACGGCCAGACGGCAATCATCTGAAGTCCACAAACAACAAACACATGCTGTTAAATACGAGCGTTATTAATCCGACGTTAACATTCGCCTGGACAAGGGGTTGAGAGAGCAAGACACGTTGCTACTCCAGGCATGCTGCCCACAAGCATATGTTTTACGTGTTCTAGTGCGCCGCTGTCCCCGAGTCCATATAACTTGAAACATACTGAGCTGGCTGCGCGCTGCCACAAGATCACATGGCTGTGGGTCAAAAATATGTACCCAAAATGGAACCCTGGAAAATGGAAACTTGGACTACAACCTGCGGTCCCCTGGTGGTTTAATTTTGACCCACACCAACATGTCGCTGTACGTAAGAATCGCTTGCAATTGTTCTGGCTTGATGTCTGAACCCCCCCCCTAATGCCCATGAAATGCCAAAGTGGCAAAGCAGCCCGGGCGAAGTTCAAGAACTGCGGGCTCCTGGGTCTTGCAACTCGCGCAAATCCGATTCGCGAGGGCTTTGGCAAGCCTCGCGTTACGTTTGGACTAGTTCAGTTTAGCCGCTACTAACCCTAACTAGCCGACAGTGCAACCAAGGAGCAGCAAATCGGCAAAGTGCAAAGACCAAACTACTCCCAGCCTTGGCTTGCGCGGCTATGGGATCGACCCCCAATCCGTCTCTCCGCATTAACTTTGACCGATTGAGTCGACCTGGCTTGCAATGCTCGGGCTACGGGACCATGAGGAATCGACCTTCTCTCTTGCGGAGACGTTGGCGAACCCCTGCTTTCCAGCAGCATGTCGTGGATCAGAATCAGTTGGTGCGGCCTGGCGGCATTCCTTCAGCAAAGTCACGAGCACGAGGATCCCTGCGAACCGTGGCCGCACAGTCTTGCAAGAGAGCCTCAGGCCACAATAGGACTCATGTGCTTCATGCAGCCAGCTGCCTGTGCAAGCTCAAGCACAGCCAAGCAAGGTGCAGCACTGTCTGCAGTTGTCCTTTTTTCGGTCCTCAGCAGTTCTTCCATCGCGAGGGACATCTGCCTGCACCTATGCAAACGTTTGGCCAAAAGCCAGTGGTATATCTGCTCGTATGCCACCATTCCAGTCATTTGCCTTAATGCTCTCTGGCCAGCTTGGCCGCCCCTCAATCGCATGACCTTGCCCTAGCCGCCGAGGTCAGCCAGCTGTGTGCAGATCCAGAGGCACCAGGATGACACACTTGTCCTGGTGGAGGAAAAGCGTCACATCTTGGCTTCTGCCTCACTGAGCGGAATTGGGGACCATCGTCCAAGCAAATGATCTACAATGCTCCTCACCTCCAACTCGTCAGGATTCCAATCGCTATCGGCCACCGCCGCATAAGGCACGCCACACTTCACAAGAATCATGCACGCATGCTTGCACCGCATCCGGCTTCCCCAGCGCTGACCCTCAGTACATGTGCACGTAGGTGGCCAGCTTCGTCGGAAGCTGACTGTATTTTGGACCTCACCGTTGGGGCCAACAATGTAAAAGTCAGCGCCGTCATCCACACGACGGCCTGACTTGCAGTCAAAGCCGATGGTGGAGGCATTTTGCCAGTCGTCCATGGCTATCTCGGCCACCTCGCGCTGTGACACCTCAGGTTCCACCTCATCAGGCTTCACCTCATCAGGTTGCACCTCGTCAGGTTCCACCTGAGGTTTCACCTCAAGGTCTTGGATTCTTCGGATCAGCTCTGGCTTGGTCAGCCCAGCTGGGTCCACGCCGGTTTCCGCCAACAGGTCCATCAGCTCCCTCTTCCGGAGGTTTGTCAAGTCGGGCAGCGCCCGGCACCGAACCCGAACACCTCGACCAATGTCAGGCACAAGGAGGACCGGGTAACATCCCAAAACCAGCCATGGAAGTGCCCATCTGCGCAAAGGCATGGCTGGAGCAAAGGTTGCCCCTCGGTTTGTGAGTGAGTCGTTCACGTGGAAACTGCATAAAGGCAAAAGCTTCCTGTGACACTTGCAAATCGGCATAATAGGGGCTGATCTCCTCGAGTTGATGGTGCAATAGCTTGCAGGTGGTGGGGTTCAGCAAGGAGCTCTTACGTGGGAAGCATGCTTCGTGTCTCTTGGTTTTTAACCTGAGCCGCTGGAACTCAAGCCGCTGATTTCTTAGAAACATATTATGTCGCGGTGGACCTCTTTCCCAGGCAATTGGGGCGGTGGGCTTGCTTGATTGGCGCACATCACGCAGCATGTCCGGTTTATTGGGCTGTTTTGTTTCGGGCCCAAACCCAAATCCGCTTCGGCATCCGTGTGAAGGCAAGGGTTCTCTTGTTCATCATGTCATAGCCACAACAGCAAGGCGGCGGTGGCTAGCTACTAGATTGCCGGGAATGCTAACAGCAACCGTTGCAATGCGCCATCAACGTGCGAGCTTGCATTAAATTGCTGGGAGTGCGGACATTAATCCTGACACATGCACCATTAATCAGGTTCCACGATGACCTTCCAGCTACACACGTATCTGGGCATGTCAGTCTGCATCTGGCCCTGTGTCTTCCGAGCAGCGCTACCTCGCTGCACTAGCGCGTCTTGCAGCACTTGCAGCATGGAGCCTGGCACATCGACCAAAATCGGTAGTCAAGCCAGTTCTGCGCAATACCCGAAACACGTGCTAGGCAGCACCAGTTCCTATTGACGTCGATGCGAGTCAAAAAGATGCTAATACGCAACATGCTTGTCATCCAAGAATCTCCCACGAACTTGGCCCACCTGAATGGCATACCGCTTGTACGAAACTGTATGGCTCACCACGTCAAACATGCGTGTTTACGCTGCCTTGTCCGGCTGCCTCGTTCCTATGAGTTATCACATTAGATCCTGCTTGTCTGAGCTAGGTTGTGAGTTCAAAAGGCTGGAACCGCGTCCACAAACACATGGCACACCACAATTCACCAACATGTGCTGCAATGTTGCTAAGTTGTTTGCTCACAGCCACCCTTATGTGTTTAAAAGCAAAAACACAACTGAAAGGTAATGCGCTTAAATGTGCTTCCCTCAGGGCTCACCGCGTCTTACAAGCGTTTAAAACGAAGACCTTTGCAAGCTGCAAGGTTTTGCCTTGCAAGTGCTTTTTTGTTTTTCATTTTGTCTTCTTCCTGCTCGGCTGCTTGCGTGCGTGGGTGGGGTGCCTGAGAGGGGTGCATGAGCGCGTGGGTGCGTGGGGACTCTGGGGTGCATGGGGTTGTTGCGTAAGCATGGGCGTGCGTGCGGGCGTGCGTGCGCGCTCGAGCATGCGTGCGCGCATGTGGGCGGGTGCTGTGGGAAGGGATGAGCGGGCAGGCGGGCCGCGTGCGTGCGTGGGTGCTTGAGGGGTGCACGCGTGCGCTTGCGCTTGCGCGCGCGTGCGCTTGCGCGTGCGCGCGCGGGTGGGGTTCGTGGTTGCGTTCACGTGTGCCACGCGAGTTGGCCCGCCGCCGTGCAGCCACGGTAACTTCTAACGAGCCAAACTTACCGGCAAAGCCAATGCGCTCTGTGACGGGAATGGTCCTTAACATTCAACAGTGTCCCATCGCCAAACACCCCTCAAAGTATCCGGTGTTCCATGGCAGCACACCGCAAAACATGGCACAAGTTCATTCCTCGCGGCTCAAGTTTCCCTAGGAGCCAGTAGCCTCGCCGTTTGTGCTGATCCTTGTGTCTGACAAACCTAAATGCTTGGCCATTTGGCCGAGATATCTTCACCAGCCTGGTAAGGTATTCACCACGTGAGCAAACACATGGTCCAAAACTGCACAGTAAGGCTGTTGGGCCTGATGAGGTGGACGTTGACATTGAGCAAGCCCAGGCCAGATTTGCCAGCTCCTCATAAACCATCGATGGAACTCGTGTCAAAGGTACAAGGCATCTGCGGCGTGAACTCAATTCAATAATGGTGACGTGTTTATTGCGAGTGCAAAAGTCTGAAACAAAACCTGCAAATCCGCTCTCCTGGGTTTGGAGAACGCCGCCTCCAAGCTTGTCTGCTAGGGCCTCCTCTGCTTCTGCCAGCAAGTGGTGATCGGTGACCTGAGTCATGGTCTCAAAAAGGGAAACCTGTGTTCTCTTCCATGCCACAAGCTGTTGCTCGAATGTACTTCACACCAAACCTCCTTCAGGCACACCTGTGAGTGTGCCATTCGCCCACAACATGTTGTTGTCCTCTATGCTCATAATCAAAGAGTGGAACTTACTGCAGCTCTTCTGGTCAATCGCAAACCCACAATGTGCCTAGTTGTTGAATGTCTACCTGCATCACACTGTCCTACAATATGCTTTCAGTGCAAAGCGCTAGGCTACCGCGCGAGCATCGAGGCAAAGGATCGCAAAAGGGACACAAGCCTTGGAGAATGGGTTTGAAGGAGCTGCATGCACAGGTCGGAATCTGATGTCTGAATGGAAGGCTGGCCTTCAGGCTGCTGTAATGCAAAGAGCACGCAAACCCATGACAGAGTTGCCGCTCAGCCAACTGCAAAACGGTCGCTTCAACGCCTTTGAACGAGACTCCAAATGAACCTACCCAAGGCCTTCTTTCCGGATTGACCTGAGTTGACGGGAGTTCCGGAGTTCCTTCTCGTCGACTCCGACCCCGTCTCCGAGCCCCGCGCTCCTTGGGGCCCAAGGCCTTCGCGCGGCCGCGACAGCTCCGTGCCAAAGCTCGGGCCGCCCGTGCCGCGCGAGCCGTGGGCGGCTGCCGTGCTAGGCGCCTTAAGGCGCTTGGGCCGCACGAGTCGATCCCCAAAGCGACGTTTGCTGCCAAGAGAATCCAAGATTGCTATAAGGTCTGATACAGGCATGAACCTTGAAACCAGGTAGTGGAACTCAAGCTGAAACCTGACATTGCTTGAGAAATCGTCAGCCAAATGTTCATCCTTGCAAGTCCAGCAACTGTTGTCTGCTGTGCACATAGATAGCATGCTTCGCTCGTATGGTTATGCTGTCCATGTAAAGCCCCGCCAAGTGTTCCCTTGCTGTACTGCCTCACAATCTTCCAGGGCGCCAAGCTTCATGGTGCAAGTCGGTTGCATTCTGCGAGGATCCTAAGCTGTGAAAGCAAACATAACAAGCCCTTTGAAGCTTGACACGATGCTCATGGATTCAAGCCGCTCTGCTCGCAACTAGCACATTTACATTAAAAAAAAAAAAAAAAAAAAAAGTGGAACAATGTCACGCTTTCCTTGCTAAGAATCCTTACATTGGTTGCCGACTTCCCGATTATAAGGTCCATGATAATTCCTACTCTATGATGTATACACTACCGTGTCAGGAAATGCAGCTAGGTGTCGGCCGCGCAGCTGCAGCAGCTCCAAAACCACTTGCCACTGCAATGCTTTCTCGCACACCGAGATGACCTAAGACCAAAAAAGCTCAACATCACAAATGATTTAAATGGCAAAGTAAAACAGGTTTTGTTTCTGTGGGTACCGGCGGTACCGGTACCCTTTTTGAGCGGTGTGCACGGAAGCTAAAAGGAAACCACCCATTTCGGGGGCTTCCTATGACACGATCCCAGGCGCTGCCTTCGGTTCCGAATGCCATGCCTGGGTTTTAAGAAGGCCCACTATGGCCCACTTCTGGAGGCTCACAACCTCCACAGCTTTGACGCAGGCAGGGCTTCGAGACTATCAAGTCACCAAAAAGCTCTTTTGCAAACCTAAGGCTGGCGAAACTTGTACCACAGTTTCCCAGCTGAATACTGCAAGTGGCGCACAACGATTCCTTTGACTAGCTGTAGAACTTTTCTTTTGATTGAGATACTTCGGAAGAACACAGTCCAAACAACAAATGCCTGATGCTAATACATTTCAACACATATGATCATATGCAGCATCAAACCTGTTACAATGTGGCGAAAGGCACAAGAGATATCAACTTGAAATTATTGAATGCCCGTGTGTGTGTGTGTGCCGATGTGTGCGTGTGTGCTCTGTGTGCGTGTGTGTGTGTGCGTAGCCAACACATTGCTGAGCAAGGAGGAAATCAACAGCACCAGCCTTTCCAGCAGGGTTAGCTCTTGATCTGCATGCAGTGATCAACACAGGCTTGAAAAACAAAGCGTAATTGCCCGCCAGTGCTGCTCAGCTACTGAGCGTCACCAAGCAAACTGGCAACACGGGTGAGTGCTGAAGGCCATGGGTGGTCTCAAACTTGGCTGACCCAGCTGAACCCCATGCTTGGCAGGGCAGGGAATTTGCAACAAGCACTGATCCGTCCGAGTCTGGTCTAGTCTGCTTTTACAACAGAGAGTGGCGGCTTCCGCAAAGCGGACCATGTCATAAGTTGTGTGGTTCTGTTTTCCCTGTGAATCCAAACCAAAACCAAAAATAGGTTTCCCCCATAATCAGTTTGCCCCCAAATCCCAAGGTTCCCCCTGTGGCACCTCGCTCCCATCGCAAAAACCGAGGCGCGGTGTTCAGCGTGGCGCCATCCGGGTCCACACGGCTCAACGGCATCTGCGCCAGCAAGCTGAGGCTTAGGCGCCAAGGCAAGGCACGGAGCACCGCGTTGAAACTGATCCTGAGAAGCGTCGGAGAGAATCGTGGCAGAAGATCAGCAGACAAAGCAGTGGGGCCCTTGGAAGAACAGCGGGGTCCATCTCATTTGCCTTGCTGATTTGCTGACTTCCATTGGCGTATGATGTCTTATGTGACTTCTCTGATGCTCATTTCGGGTGCCCGTGAAAAACGATGTGAGCAAACCATTATTTTTGTGTGCACATATGACATTAAACAAACAAATAGCAGAACACCACAGGCCGGCCATGTCCTTTTGATTGTGCCACACATGTGCCACGGTGGAATAACTGTCATGGGGATTCTCATGGTTCCCGAATGGTCCTCTTCTCATGGTCTTTACAAAAAATGTCGGGTCCATGCAAACAGAATGGATGACCATGGCAAGAATGACAACAGGGAGAGTAGCCCTGCATACTTTACAAGCAGGAGATTAGAGAACATTGCTCCTTCTTGAAAATCAGCACATGGGTCTTCAAAGGTTGAGGGCATCGGGATCTAAAAATCCGTGCGCGTGATTTGGTCCTTCAACTACCATACACCAAGGCAACTCCGTGTCCTGTCTGGTGACAGCTGCCTCCGCGGCATCCCCTGGCGCGGTACAGAACAAGTCCATTGCAGGATCAATCCGGCAGGGCACTGCAACTCGCGCTTGCAATGATTGCCAACCAACCTTGCGGATTGAGTAGACGTTGCACAACGGTTGGTCAGGTCTAGTGAATCAAAACAAAAGGAAATGGTCCTGAGGCAAGAACCAACGAAATGATATCTGATGTTAGTCTGTTGGCATGTTGTGCGGAACTCATTTCAACCAAAATGCTGTGCCAAGCTCCAGATCTGCCAATCACCCTCACTTCGTAAAGTTGATGTCCCCAAAAAAGCAGCCTTTCCAAACGGGCTCAGCTTGTGCATGGAGGCATCCCATCGTTAGCAGTCCTCAAAAAGCAGCAAGGCTTCTTGCCAGCGGCTGCACTTCTCACAAGCGCTGATCGCCGCGTTTACAGCACTCAGCTGCGGCCTGCAAACCCATCTTTCTGCAACGACTCTCTCCGCGGGGCTTGTAGCTTCTACGGCAGGGCGCAACTGAACACACACGCACAAACGTAGTATATGTGTATAATCTAACCATGCAAACACAATAAACGCAATGTACACGCACATCACACACACACATACACACGCAACTAACCTTCTGGGGCGAAGCTCATCTGGCACGTTCCCAAATGGTGAGAGAGGAGCCGATCTTCATGGTTGACGTACCGCGTTGCGTGTTGCTCTTGCCCTCGCCTCGGCTGTGCCTCTAAAAGCACCAAGGCCTGCTCCCAGCGGAAGGCCTTTTCGCCTCAAATTCGGTGAATGCAACAACTTGTTGAAGGAGTATGTCCGGTACACAAAGTAAGGCTTTGAAACAATAAACATGCGTTCCTTGAAGTTAGAATATATTGCAAGCTCGTAAAGCTATCAAAATGGGTTTGGGTGTAAATACGTTTGCGATTGCTTTGGTATGGCTGCTCAAATCTCCCAAGTCATGACTGTTTGAGTCCACATTTGGGCCAGGCCAAAGCCGTCCTTTGCACCAGGACGCGCCAAATCTGTTCAATGACAGAATAGGGCAACACACAAGACTGGAATCATTAAAAACCTACAAGGGTTCAAGTTGCTGCCTTACCCTTGGATTTAGTAAGCACATCAAACAGCCCCGGCATGGTCTCATTTCACCAGGCACGGCTCCGCTACTCAGGGGAAGCAACAAAAGCTGACCCCTACACCGCTAGCCAGTTCGTCACTGCCTTTGAGGCATGAAACCATTTCAGGCCGGTCACAGGCGCTGATGGCCGAGGAAAAGCTGGCATTGCTGGGGTGCATCTTCTGCATCAACTCTTGAAGAGCTTCTAGTGCAAGAAGCCACTGCCCACCTGGCGGTTGACTTCAATCGGATCTCACAATGAAACCATTGCTAAGCGCCTTGTTGGCTCCGACGAGCAAGCTACATGTCATGGCTTCCCATTGTTTGGAAGCGCTTGATTGACACAATTCTCGGCTGGCATCAGTGGAGAGGCATCGTGCCCAGTAGAAATTCCTCATGGCCCTCATAATGATACCCTTTAACCGCATCGTCTTGAGGATTTCAACAGTACACTTCTGACATGCTCTGACCAGCTTATTCGACCTCTAACGGGATACACAAGCAGTGGCATTTCAAGCATACCATGACACCACCATGTCATCACGTCCTCAAAGGAATATCATTCTAGCTTGGCGAACTATTTGAGCGGCGCTGGGCATAAACAACTACTCTTGCATAGCTGCTGCATACAACAAACAACAAATATGTCCGTTATTGACCAACGCAATCTAGCACTTGAGACATTCATGCATTGGCTTGATGGTCAAATGTGGTCAAATTTGCATCATCCATATGAGTCACGCACTACGGTGATACACTTCTGCCTTGGTAGCATTGCACGTGTCTTCATTTGATTCATGGCGCATGACTGCGAGATGTGTTGCAGCTACACGGCAAACCAAGTGCGCTGAGCTTGCCGTGGAACCCTGGCCTGCGTTGTTCAAACATCCTGGGATCCCTAACTCTCATCGGTCCTCCGGTGGGACACCATTACAACAAGGAAAACCACGACCATCTGGCATTCGGATCTTGCTGATTGATTTTGCAAAGCCCAAATGGCCAAGACCGCACCTCTACCACAAGCGGCAATCAGGGTGTTGTAGCAAACCTCGTCGGCTTGCAGCTCCTGCCAGTCTCGCCTGGTGCTCTTCAGACGTCTCACAACAGACCTTCAACTCAAAGATATCGCCTCCATTGTGCTCTTTGGCGGTGCGAAAAACATGGATCCCGATCACGCCATGAAAAGCTTTTCCTGTAGAACAACAGGGGGACTGTGCATCCGAACAAAAACAAAAGACGACATAAGACGACACAACGAAAAGCAACGACAAGTCGTCAATCTAGCACCCCTCATCACTCCAGCTGGATGGCACCACCCGCTCCTTCGCCATCATCTCCTGCATGAGTGCCAGCGCGGCCTGGCGAGTATTCCGGATAGCAGCGGAAGCCCGCAGAAATGCAGCTGGCATGTCCAAACTAAACTCAGGTGCCAAACTGTAAATGCATCGGCTGACGATCATTGGACGCCTGGGTTACGTGACCCGGATTTTGTGAAGGAAAGGCCGCGTCCTGACAACTGGCTTCCAAGTGGTTGTTTCATGAAGAGCCCCGGGCCGCCTCCTGACAATCCCAGGCCGTTCCAAACGGAGGGTTGGCCAATCCAACTCTATAAACCCCATGTAGAACCCCACGATAGCCCCTGACCAAGCGCCTGCCAAGCGTGGGCCTTCGCACACGCGCTGAGCGCACAGCTGCAGCTCACCACATCGCCCCTGCATCGCCCCAGGAGCTCCAGGGCCTCTCGGAGGCAATTCCTATCGGGACGTCGGTGTGCAAGCATTACTGTATGTATAAATATAATATAGATGTATATATGTAGAATATTATATTATATTATATACATAGGAACAGAATATTGTAATTCAGTGCAATGGAAATAATTGCAGGAATAAATATGGCCCCCCTAGTAATAGATATTGGCTCGGGGGCAAACGATATTGGGTAGTTGGGGGTCGACTGGATTTCCTCGTCCAAACAGGCTCCCCCCCTTTCCCACACACGCAAACCGTCAACATCGCAATTTCCGACTATCGAGCTTAGCTAAACACATTCAAGGCTGTTTTTTCATTGTTGCGGTTAAAAAATACAGTCTAAATTTGTCAAAGGCAAGTATGAACCTATATTTCTTCAAGCATGTGCTGGAATACCCCCCGCAATAGGACAAGTGGCGGGATTGGCGCGAAATCGGCAGGCGCATTCTGAAAGTAGTATTGGGGATGCGGGGCTCTGGAAAAAAACGGAACTTATTGCAATAGGGTGCCTTTTTTCATAGGGATAAGAGATTAAAACACATTAAGGTGAGTTCGGGGCACCGTGGGCAACAGTGGAAGAGGAGCAATGCCCCAAATGCAAAGTATGCTGGAATACGAGCATGGCGAGTCCTGGGCTCCTTCGTGCACATCTGGCTTGTTAGACGCAGCAAACCATTCGCTTCCGGTGGTGAATCCTGCAAAACGCTCCCATTGGCTTCATCCATCCCTTACCCTCGTGTTTACTAACATGGCACTTTTCAAAGGGTCCTCTTAGAAAAACATGGTTCAGCACTCCCCGAGTCGGGTTACCCATTGCTTGCCTCTGACCAGTGGCTTCCCAACGCCCAAGCGCCCAAGGCGGAGTTGCAGCACACCGTGCTCTGCAGAGCCATGGGCTCCATAGAGAAGAGGTCCAGGGCCTCCTGCCACCTCACCACAGCCACGCTCAAAGTTCGAAACATTGCAGTCATTTCAATCTCAGTCAGCCCCCCATCCTTTTCCAGGTTGTATTTTGCAGGAGTATCATGCAACCTGTTCATTGTTTAATGAGTTTCCTATAGTTGTCTATGCAATTTGAGGAAAAGTATAACAATGATGTTTTCGTTCAACTGAACAGGATAACTGCCTCAATCACCTCAGACGATCTATTGCAGCGGCACATCACAAAGCCGTAAGCGACACCTGTAGCAGCACTGGCAACTCAACTGTGCCTCAAGCCAGAACACAGAACTAGGCCGGCAAGTGGCATGCTGCAACCGCCAAATTGATCATTCTGAGAGGAACGCCGCTGATCAACCACACCGAACACTAGGCCGGCAGTCCCTTCCCCCGCAAGCAGCGCGCAGCTGACCTCTGACTTTCATGGCGGCAATTTTGCAGCATTTCTTTAGAACCACTTCTGGGGTAGATCGCTCCGGTGGCTGGCAGGGGTAACATTCTGACCACTTCATTCTGTGGTGTCTACAAATGCCAACTTAAACAGCAATACGAGACTTGCCAAATAGGCTTTTACGTACATATGTATGGATGCAAAGCTTGAACTGCAAAGCGCGAAACTTCAGAAAGCAATGCGAACCAAACCGCAAGCCCGTATGGCTTGCTCACCTCTTTTTTCCGCCAGGCCACATCTTAGCGACTCTGTAGGCCGTGAGCGCAGCAGAGCATTGGAAGGCATCAAGCTCACAGCGGTGCTCCTGAAGCGATCATGTATCTCGGACGGGGACGATGTATGAGTAGCCCATATTTGGCAGAGTCCAAGCATAGCTACCTCAAAAACTTAACACAATTCGAACAGTGTTGCACTAGCATGTGGCCAACATGAACGACAGGAACCTCGCGCCAAACGGGAACAGCGAAGTAGAGGCTGCCTGGATCATGAGCGACAGTGCCAAGTTTTTCATTATTCTCATTGCCGGAGAGTTTGAAGCATGCCATCCGAAAGCGAAGAGATGGACCAGCTATAGTGTTCAACAACATCTCCGGCAAGGTGTGAGTCTTTCTATGTTTCCGTGTATTCTGCTTTTCATGAGCTACCTTGGTCCTCTTGTATGGAACCAGGTGAACGGCGCAAAGAGAGCAAGGAAAACAAACAATTCATCATAGCAAGTTGATTCCGTGCCTCTTAGCCGAAACAAGTTCAATGCTGTAAATGCTGAATGGCTAACTCGTGCGCACATCCACAAACTCATTTCAAACCAGGCTGCCCAGCGCGCCACTGGTGTAGCTGCACACTCACGCGAGCTAGTCAATTAGTGATAAGCCCATTTTGCAGAATCAATTCTCGACTCGCTTGCAAGTCTATTTTTAATGGAACCCAAGAAGGGGCAACAAAACAAACTCTCCTTGATAAAGATGGCTTTGTGTGTTCCATGGTAATTAATCTGTGGGGAGTAGGGGAGTAGCAGGCATTTTGAGCACTACTCATGGCAGTCAGTCCTTCATCAATGCCAGTGTAGACCGGAGCTGGGTGCCATCACAGGATCGAAGGTAAGCTGTTGCTTCTCCTCAGCCGTCGTGGGCCGTCGCGGAAACCTGTGTCGACTCAACTTTGCCAGGTTCCTGAAAACTGCTTTGGCAGAAATAGAATCAGCAATTGACGGGGAAGAGAAGAGCGATGAGAAGCCAGGAGAGGAGAGAGAAAAGAACGGACAGGAGGAGAGGAAAATAAACGCGGCAAAGGGTTGGGGGGGGAGGGAAAAGAACCAAGGCACAGAGAAAGAATGAGAGAAGAGGGGAAGGAAGAAGTGAGAAAAGTTGGGAAAAGGGCAACAAGAACTGCTGGGAAATGAGACGAGAAGACAGGCGACAGCAAAGACAGCAGCGAGCGACCGAGGCAATGTACTGCTAAAAGCCATGCCTGCTATTTCAAGACTCAGTATTTATTTGATATCCAATCCCATTGGCCTCCTACACAAGCAGGGACTTCTGCTAGCTAATCTAGCTTCGTGAAAAACAAGCTTTGCAGGTTCAGCTCAGCGTCTTGAGCCGTCCTTCCATCTTGAAAGTTGTGCGGAGTCCACGCTGAGCTGTGTGGGTCCTCAGAGGTATGCATCAACATCAATAGCTTGCTTTGGAGTACATGCAACATGGAGCAGAAAACACAAATCGTTGACCAGTTGAGGTGGTTGTCGGCAGGCCTTTGGTGTGATCGTTCCGAAAGAAACGAGTGAACATAATGTGAACTGCCCAGCTGCTCGCAACAAACAGAATTGCCATCGCTACTTGCACATTCGGCTCGGCATGGTGCGCGTTGAGCCATCTTGCAGCCTAAGCACGGCTTTTGGAGTTGTGCTTGGAAGGGAGAATCATGCTGCGCACAAGCCATACGGCTGCGGTGTAGCAAGCAGCTTGATACTTGCATCTACCGGTTCGCTAATCCAAGTGGACAAGCGAATGGGCTCCAAGAAACTTGGTCTCAGCTGTCTCACATATTGAATTAAGGGCGGTGGTGTTACTCTGTTGTGCTTTTTCAGACGTGAGATCGCAATCCACAAGCCGGTGATGCCAAAGCAGCATCGTCGTTTTCGGCCTGTGCAAGAACAAGCGAAAAGGGAGACACATATAATATATATATATATATATATTATATATATAATATATATATATATATATTGGACCTATAGCGCAGCCTACCCTGCTCTTCACGGCATTCAGTTTGGGTCACATCGGCAACCTTATAAATATTATTTTATTTAAATCACTGATTGCTTAGGGGGATTTCCGCCATCAGCAAGAAGTGCATTGTAAACCCTGTTCAATGCAGCTTTGCATGATTGGATTGGGCACACACACACACACATACACACCCTTCGCAAGCTGACAAGGGGCAACGTTGAATACCATGAGAATGCAAGGCTTGTCAGAAAAGGAACCTTGCACTGGCGTGTCATCTCACTTGCAGGGTGAAAGAAAGTGGCCAGCACGAATTCAGACACTGCCTTGGATAAAGCTAAATTTACACATACACACTTGTCATGTCTTTGACCTGTGCTTCAATGGCTGTTTGCTCCGCCTTTGACACTTCCTTCTCATTCCTTTGACCCTACACAAAGAACACAGCATTGCCAACTCATCTACAGTGATCTTCCTGGTGTGAATGCAACACGCAGTTTGCGCTTTTGGACTTGCACACATCGTTCCACATGCTGATGCGATGCCGTGCCCGACTCCCCGCCTCTGTGGGCCCCAGCAGCCCAGTAAGGCGCATGTCATCCCCCAGCCGTGCTAGGACTCCGCCGGTCCTTGGGCGCAATCTGCTAGCTCAAGTTGGCTGAAATTGCGGCGTCTTACATGTATTTCCCAACATCTTGCAGCGTACATGTTTGTTCCGTGTTCGCTTCGTGGAAGCAAGACGTTTGCGGGTGTCCTAGCAGGATGTATCAAACCGCAAGGGATCCGTTTAGTCAAGCAAACACGCTGATTGTCAGACTTACATCATGTTGTAAAGAAGAATATTCTATCAATGTTGCCAATGCCAGCAAGCTATCCCTCCCTCTATTTCTTTCTCTCTCTCTCTCTCTAGCTAGCTCTCTCGCATCTCTCTCTGCTCCCATTGCGCGCACACACGCGCACAGACACACACACACACACGCCAATAGCTTGTGCTTCCAATCTTCACGCAGGAGATGCTGAAGAAGGTCCGCACTCGCACCCCCCCCCACGTTTGGCACCTGCATAAATCTAAAAGCTTCATCTCTCCGCTTTTCAAACTTATCAATGGCATTGCCGCAGCTAGGTTTGCGGAAATGCCACTGCCCGACACAAAGTACACATACTATCAACGGCGGTCAGAACTTAGTTTGAATGAAACTATGAGCATGCAAAGGCCGATAATATGTTCTGGCCACCTCGCCGCCAAAACCAAGATCATTCAAACCACAAATCAACATGCATAATACATGATCATCCCACTGGTTTGCGCTTGAAGATCAAGATGGCCTCTATGGCAAGACATGTCAACATGTGATGTGTCGCAAGCGAGAATTCAGCGATGGAGGTCGCCTTCGGCTTGGGATCCCAGACTTGACACTGCCAGTGAGATGCTGCGCGGATGGCTTGCCCATCAAGGCAGCCTGGCAAGAAATGCTTGTGTTCGAAATTACCATTGAACTCTTGATTGGAAGGACACAAAATGAAAGCGTGCAATGTTTTGACACTTCAACTCAACTCAATGGGATGACAAATAACATGGCCCCTCACAAACACAGCTGCTGACAGGCATGTTCATAAGGAAACAGATGCAAAGGAGTCAAACTGTTTTGCTGTCACCTTTGAACAAACAACACAATGCATTTCAATGCGCATTCAACTTTATCACAGCGGCAAAAACACAAGCCCACAGATTTCAGAAGCTTCGGTTCTGATAGCAAAGTCTGTTGATGCAGTGCCAATAGCTGGATGCAGCAGCCAGAGAAGCCTTTTGGAGTAAAGTGGCGGTGTTCAAAGCAGTTGTGGGACTCACGTGACAAGCAAGGGCGCTCCTATCGCCTCAAAGCGAGCTTTCAACACGAAAGCACCTGGGCAAGAAACAGAATGGTTGGCACTCTATGACTCTATGCTTCCTTTAAGAGGACATGGGCGGACTTTCGAGAGTAGACATATAAGTATGGCCGGTGGCTCAGGTGGTAAACATACACTGTGTTGTTCAAGAACAGATAGATGGACTGCCAATGCCAACCTGTTGTGCCCTGGCAATAATGCGTTGTGTTGTTGACTTGTGGAATCACTACTGACCTTGTTTCTGGATCCCCATTGTGCGCAAAACTCGTGGTTACGAAAAGGCGAATGCTTGGAGCGAGACGAGGTTGGGGGATGGACCTTTTGCGGACTGCCCTGCTTGGATGCAATCAATCTCTGCAAGGCTCAGCATCAATCGCCAAAGCGTCATGAAAGGCAATGACCTCGTTCACCTCTGAATTTCCTCGAACCGAAAAAACTCCCCTGGATTCCGTGAAATTATCGCTGACAGCTCAGTTTGAGATACTCCCCGCCAGGGCCGAGTCATCAGAGTCTTGTAAGGCATCCTGTGGTGATCCTGTCGGCTGGCGAATGATCCGGCAGCCTTACTCTCCAAGACCTGTTCAGGAGGCCTGCAGCATGCAAGCAAGGTTTGCTGAATTCATGGTTTGCAGTTCGCTTCAATGTCCTCCATCCTGGCATTTCCTGGAGAGTATGGATACAAATGACTCTGTTTGAGAGCGCTCCATTGTTCTCAAATGCAGCATCCTAATCCGGATGCAACACAAAAGTCCATATAACGAATTTGTCACAGCTGGCACGCAACAGGCTCTTTCATCTCATGTCAGTTGCCTGCCCTAGTTTCATTGATGTTCCACCAACAGTTCGAGCGAGTGCAAGCGTCGGCCTTGTAATTGTATGAAAGCTATCATGCCTGCAAGAACAACATGACTGCAAAGAAAGGAATGCTTCATGTTCGAATCCGGACTTATGGATGTTCAGATAACTGTATCTTCTAGTTCAAGTTGACACATGCCTGATTCCCTGACGCTAGCTTCTTCGGCAAACTGAACGTGCAATCAGAAACACACCTTTGCATTGGGCGAGCTCAGTGGTTCAGCCAGATGCCCAACAGGACATTGCCAATGCTAAAACATTTAAAACTCTGAAAACAATGCTTTGCCAATGCTTTTTGCCCCATGCATGTTCCATCTGTCCTTCTAGAGAATGCCCCAGGCGCGGCGTGGTGCGGCCTTGTGAAGCCATGGGCTTTGATCAAATGCTGGAATGTAATCCATCGAAGCGCATGTTCAACTCATTTCGACTGTCATACTGTCCTAGCCAGTGCGAGCAGGTGCTACAATCCAGTGTGCTCAAGCAAGGGTGCAGTCTCTCGCAAATCCGATGTGTCTGACTTAATGCAAATGTGTCCAAGGCTTCCTACTCCTCCAGCCCACGCCCCAGCCTTCAGAGGTGGCTGAATCCACGATAGCGTTCAGCCTGTGTGTGTCTTTAGACTAGAGAACGATCCGCCGAGAATGGCGAAGGAATCTGCCAACTAGCAGACACTAGACACAACATCCCTCATGTAGCCTCTAACTGCAACTGGCGTGATTGAAGTGGATCAAACATTGGAAGCAGTGGGCAATGCGATTGCGGCAACCAACCACTTGAAGGGCTCCCTGATGTTCACATCAAACAACCAACTAGAGCTTGAACTGGCTTTGCTAGGTTTGCCTGTTGAGGGACACACGCTGCGCTACAGGCTAGCAAAATGCGACGCTTCATTCACAGTGGTCATGTTGTACACGATTTATAATGGTGGCTAGACGGTATCAAACAAAGGGTACAATGCCCACGACAGTTTGCAGCCATTTTGGGCAAAATGCGACAGGGTGATGCAGCGTGTCTGATTTTGAACAAACATGTTTTACTCATTCTACACTTCAATTGATGCGGCATGTTGCGGCCAGCTCCGCGTGTGCGACGTAACATGGTGCAACCTGCATCAGCTTGCGGCATTATGCATTACCCTTTACACAGTTTGTTTGATACTGTTAAGCCACCCCTGAGTTTAGCCACATACTTCCGAAGGGTTTTACTTGCCTCAGCTCCATACGTTCCGAAAGTTCTGGGTCTTGTAGGTGTGGTCTCTTGCCTCAGACATTCCTGTTGTCCCGCGTTCCAAGATAAAAGACTTGCAGGTTTGAATCATGTTATGACTATATTAGACAATAATATATGGCAGGCTTGTTTTGGATCCTAAAAGCCACACGTTTCCGAATGCCTCGCTCGTCTGGCACAAAAAGATCCGCCTCTCGTCATCCTCAATGGCAGCCACATCCAGAGGCTGTGGCTGTCGCCTCAGCTCTGAGGTTGGGGCGCAAACTGATGGCAAGGTAAACTGCTCTTATTGCAGTGGTCAAACAGAAAATGGGCTTGAGAGAGTGAGAGAGTGAGAGAGAGAGAGAGACAGAAAGACAGACAAACAAACACAGACAAACAGAAGGAAGAACGAACACACAACACAAAGCAAGAAAGAGGAACGACAGGAAATAATGAAGACGGAAATAAGGAAGAAGGTAGTAACAAAAGCAATAAATAAATAAAGACAGAAACGAAAACAGAAGCAAGACAGAAAGACAGAAATAATTGAAGTACAGTAAGAAAGAGGGGCAGAAAAAGAGCAACATATAACGACAAACAAACAAACAAAAACGCAAACCGCCGCATTGCGAACCTCCGCTCTTCGCTGCTCTTTAAAATAGCTGCATAGTTGCCTAGGCCTTTTCATGTTGCATTCTTCCTGGATGTAAAGCCGAGTCCTCCGTCGATTCCCTGAAGGCAACAACATAATATCTGCACTCACAAGCTTAGCAGCAATCCCCACTTGGAAAGCCGCCAGCGATTCGCCTTCTAGCAGTGTTGCCTCTCAGCTGCAACACATCCACATCCTGGATGAACACAAACATGAACAAATAAGTAATGAATGCCTCTTGTCAACTCATGGCAGTCCTGAGTGCCAATCAGAATCAGTGAGGGCTGCGCGGGCATGGCCCCTTGGGCCTGTTTTAGAGTTGATTCCATGAGTTGAGGAGATACAGCAAATAGGTAGCCTGTGAGATGTCAAATGTTGAAGGCATACGAGGAAGCAAACACAGTTCGTGTCAAGCCTACGGGGCCTACGGCTAGTCTGTGCGTTGCTTGCGGCCGAACATCCCCATGATGCAGCAACTTACACCAATCTACCTTGGCACCCCTCTGCAAGTAGAACTAGGGAAGCATATCAATCAGTGTCTTGGAATCATGCGCTGCTTCTGTGTAGACATCAGCCTGCGGCAACATCTGCTGTCACAATGCCTTGGCTGCTGCGCGATATGACGTGCAATCGGCTTAATTAAGCTTGAGCCCAAGGCATGATTATTCACTGCCCCCAACAAAAGATGTACACTGCGAAGCATAACACCAGTCCGCACATCCTGACAGCCACTGCCTGTGCAACATGTGCTAAGGAGTTGTGGGATCAGATCAAACCACCTCTTAGTGTGACCCATTTGGCTGCTGGCCGAAAACATGCCAGCCTTAACAACATGTGGCTATGGGTCAAATCCCCGGTACCCCCAGTGAACATCCCAATCCCCACTCAAATAGGTTCTAAAATGGGTGGTGCACCTTTCCCAAAATGGGATACCATTGGCTTTGAACCATGGCCATGTGCCAAAACGGCTGCTGCATTGTGCAGCGCCCGCCTTCAGCTGCTCAAGCTGCATGGCCTTCGCGCTTTTCGCCAGGCTCTGGAAGGCGCTGACCGCCTCCGCAGTGCCTCATGGGAGTCGAGGAAGCAAAGGCGACAGGGACGAGTGCTTCCCCTTCCAAAGCAGGGTTGGCTTATTGAAACAAAATGGGTCCAAACCTTCAGGAAGAACACCGCATGGCATCCCAAGCCACATCTTCAAGAATGACCCTGTTTAGCCATCCTCACTGCTGTTTGAAGCATCCTTGCTGTCCGCAAGTCGCCAGGAATTGCATTGTCCTTCCAGCATGGGTCAAGTGCAGCACAGCATGTTGGAGCTCGTCTATGGTTGCTGTTTACACAAATTTGCACCCGCCAATGACCCCCCATCCACCAAACCCCATCGTTGCCTGCCACAGTGAAGCTCCGGTTGTGAAGGTAGCCACTGATTTCACAGACCTGCAGGCCATGAATGGATTGCATGGGACAATCGTGAATGGACAATTGCAATTTTGGAAGGGCCTTTCGATATCACATGATGGTCTTTCAGAAAGGTGCAATTGCAAGGACGAAATGCTGCAAGGTCCGCAGAAGGGCATAATTAAAACAGCTCGCCACCTGGCAAAAACTTGTTGCATCAACGGCACCTTCTGTGCGAGAAAATATACTATTGGCACTGACATTCAATTCTGGGCCAGGTTGCCGTTATGCATTGTGATCAACCTAGATACGGCTAAAAAAATGTACTTGCGTCACTAAATTGCATCTCAATTGAGACGCGCTAAACCCCAAAAGGGTATAGAAGCAGCAACTGGCCCACAAGATCTTTAGGCCCTCGATTGATTTCCACTGATCGCTGTGATCGCGTTTCGACCCGCTCTCTGCCTCTTCGGGGCCAGTTTGCTGCACAGCTTTTCGGCAAAGCTCGAGCACCTGCCACGGGAAGCACTTCCCTGCTGACCGTGGACAAGTACTGACTTGCCGGGACCAAAACAAGCAGAGTTCAGTACGTTCTCCAAACAACTTTTGAAACCAGCTATGCCTAAGCACCAATATGAGAGACCATCCCAAAACAGGCTTGCTCTGCTCATGAGCCCACAAAGGGAACTCTAGCACTTCGTGGAATGGCACGAGGCAAATATTGTGATTAATGGTTGTTGCCGCCTACACTGCCGATTCAATCACACTTCTCCTGGCAATGCATGTTCAAGTACACCAAACACGTTGATCATACACATGTACTTGCGTAATTACCATCAACATCTCTCGATCAGGCTTGCCTTTGTTCATTCGTGTTTCCGCACCTCCTAGAAACACTTGCAGCAATCAAGCAATCGTCGTGCCTTTCCCTTACGAGGCCAAAGCAACGCTCAAGCCTTTAAGGTGCCTTGGCACAGTGCCCTCCGATATTCAGCATTGCAAGTCACTGCAAACGGCTCAAAGCAGCAAAATATGGTCTTCCGGAGCTTCCCCATAGCCGGTACAACCCCGCCCGTGATTTCCACAAATTCTGGAAATGCGTCAACATAGGGGACTCTACAAATGATGGCGTTCTTTTTGATTTCCCTCTAAACCAAGCTGACAAACGCGCAGCCTAAGAACACAAACACGCACATATCAGCTATAGATATGCCTTACCTGGTAAAGCAGTAATTCCCACATTTCAGTGCGGGCCTTCAGCTCTTCGAGCCCCACGACGCAGAGGCTAGCCTGGTTGAACAGCCCACGCTTCGGCTGTGAAGCTGTGGTATGCAAATTTGACTCAAAGCAAAGGCAAAGGCAAAGGCGCTTTTTTGTCTCAGCATTTGTCTGCCTGTGGAGAAACATGGGACACCTTTTGTAAAATCAACATTTTCTATTGCGCAACGGATCCCCAGTGGTCCATGTGCACACTAGAGACTCGAACACAAAATGCGAGTGCGTTCCACAAGCACCGCGATGATGCTAAAACTGCTCTCGCCTAGTGCGAAGCTCACAACTGTAGACTTCACATTCATGGCCACATCTTTCAAACGTTCAACTTTTGCCCAAATAGGGTGCTCACGCCTTGTCCTTGAGGGTGCGGGCAGGGCTCAGCGCAGCGGAGAGCACGATGGCCAAGGCAAGGACGCCAGCCCCGGAGAGGCCGAATGCCAGGTAGAACCAATTCCAGGAGAGGCCGGCAATGCCGAAAGCTCCCAAAGCCTCCTTGTTGAAGATGCGGTCAAGGAAGGTGGCGACGTCCTCGTTGCCAGTGGAGGCGGCCAATGCACGCTGGGGCAGGGCCAAAGCCAACCCGATGGTCAATCCAAATGCCAAAGGCATCATGGACGTGGAAGACTCAGTGTTGACCTTCAGCTGTTCCTCCGGTGCTGCCAGGGTTGCGAAGCTGTTGTGCTTTGGGGCCTCATGCTTGCCGTAGACCGCTGGCACGAAGCTCTGGACGGACGACAAAGCAAGCAGCACCACTCCGCAGCCAATCAACTTCGCGAATAGGGCCATTGCTATCAAAGGTGATGATCCGCACTAACACTGAGACACCGCTCTACTCGGCAGGCTTGACAAAGAAATGGCAAACGCGCATTCAGTCCAACCATGTGCAGGCAAAGACATGGCAAACGTGCATTCAGTCCAACCATGTGCAGGAATACACACAAAAGCGCCAACATGAATATCAACATTGAAACTGGAGGCCGCCTCCGAGAGCAAGTTGCGGCAGCCGTTGCTTGACAATAGTAGCTGAGAGTGCCAAGCTCTGGTATTGTTCATGCAGCTCGACTACGCAAAGTGCTCTTTGAAAAGCATTCTCAACAAAATGGATCTATTTCATCAACTGCATGGCGGCCATGGCAACAGGGGTGCTGCTAAACCAGCACAGCGCAACACAATAGCTCTTGAGCAGCGCTTGTTCTTTTGTCGAATATGGTCACTGCCGTGGCATTGAGCCTTGGTCAGAAGAAGAACTCAGATGCACGTATTGTGGGTCAGGTAAAACTTGGCATGAGCCCGTCATAGTCATGAACTTTTGGCCTAGAATCCATGAAATGCTCACGCCTTGTCCTTGAGGGTGCGGGCAGGGCTCAGCGCAGCGGAGAGCACGATGGCCAAGGCAAGGACGCCAGCCCCGGAGAGGCCGAATGCCAGGTAGAACCAATTCCAGGAGAGGCCGGCAATGCCGAAAGCTCCCAAAGCCTCCTTGTTGAAGATGCGGTCAAGGAAGGTGGCGACGTCCTCGTTGCCAGTGGAGGCGGCCAATGCACGCTGGGGCAGGGCCAAAGCCAACCCGATGGTCAATCCAAATGCCAAAGGCATCATGGACGTGGAAGACTCAGTGTTGACCTTCAGCTGTTCCTCCGGTGCTGCCAGGGTTGCGAAGCTGTTGTGCTTTGGGGCCTCATGCTTGCCGTAGACCGCTGGCACGAAGCTCTGGACGGACGACAAAGCAAGCAGCACCACTCCGCAGCCAATCAACTTCGCGAACAGGGCCATTGCTATCAAAGGTGATGATCCCCACTAACACTGAGACACCGCTCTACTCGGCAGGCTTGGCCAAGAAATGGCAAACGGCGAGGAACGGCTGAGACACGGAAACACGCATTGAAACATGCAGTTGCAGTTACACACATGCGCCGTCCAACGTGAACGCAAACACTCTGCATGCAAACAAACGTTCAACATGAATATCTCTCGCCTGCTCACGGGACTTTGCGGCTGACTCCAATGCCTGCCGCAGAACAGCGATCAAGTGCAGCAGCCATGCTCTCCAAAGTTCGGGTGGCTCTTTTATGACTCCGTCTAATGTTCGCTCTTGTCCCGCGAGCATCATCACAAAATTGGACCATTTCCATGCATCCCCCGTCGACGCACCTGACAAATTGAATAATGCAATGTGTTCTCCATGCTACGCCTTTCACCTATGCATACCATACCGGCAGCAAGAAAAGGTGCAATCCATGCGCAACCTACTTTGCAAGCCTTGTCAAGCTACGTAGAGTCGAGCAAACTGTATGGTGCCCTGCCTTTGCATAATTCCACATAATCGTTGCACGCTCAGCCGTTTGTCTTTCGAAGTCCGTCGATTCTGTGCTTCCTGCGCCTCCCTTATAAACAAGCCAAAGGCTAGGGTTGGAGCCTGGAAACAGCAGGTCGATCTGGAGCAACGATGTGCTTGGACAAAACATCGAAGGAGTATTTGAGAGGTCAACAGTTGGTGGGACGAGCTTGGGTCTTGCTAGGTGCATGGTGTCAGCGGCTATTAATATGCCAGCAAGAGCAGCGGTCAAAAGGATGGCTGAACGAACCAGTCAGTTGATCGTGTTCTGGCGGAAATGTCTGCGCGGGCTATCAGGCCGTGCTGTTTGCCCGTGAAGGGTTTGCCGCCTCGTGTTCTATCAGCCTCTGACCCTGCAATCTGGGGCTGAAGAAGCAAATTCGGGCCAAGCTTCTATGGCACCTGCAAACATGTTCGTATGCATAAGTGGGTGCCCGCAGCATCCCAGTACAGCAAGCACGGCTATCTTCCTCATGCTCCCAAACAAACTCACAGTCTCTAACTTATGTATGGCCTGGAGAGAAACATTCTTAGCACTTTTGCAAATCTTTTGCCACAGCAAGCACAAATGATATATTCGATGTGATGAGCATACCTATTATCCCATCTTGTTCCAGGACCAACATGGATGAGTGGGGGTCGCCTGAATGCAGAGGAGTGCAATCATCAGAATCATGATGCCATGCGAGCCAGGCACGTGTACAGCATGATCTGTATGATATTGAGCTCTAGACAGGAAGCCCCATCATCTGATTGCCCTATTGTAGGCATGATGTGTAAAGCATACTGTAGATCCGTGACTCACGTGCGTGTCTGAAAGGACTTGCCAGGCCGAGCGTCACTTGCCAGCCTTCGTGCACTCCAGCACTAACGCCAAGCCATCGGCCATGGAAAACACGCCTCCACAAGCACAGCTCTCAAAAACTACGCACTGAAGACCACAGGGTGGCCTCATTCAAAACGGCGATTCTTAGCATTATTGGTCTCCAACATCTCCAAGCTGCTAACTATCTTGTGCCATCGATCTGACTCGGAATATCAGGAGGCAGGAGGTTTGTAGGCGGCCGCCGGCAAAGGACGTGTTGTGGTTGTTGGGAGTGAAGCATTTGTTGATATTGTGCCATGGTGCGTCACCGGGGCACGTAAGCCCTGGCTAACTTATACCTAGGTCTTCCATTTGATGACTCTTTGGGGCTCCGGGCATTTGTTTGCTCGTTTCAGGTTTTGGGCGGAAAAGTATGCAATGCTCGGAAACCTGAATTTAGCCAGTTTTCTCCCGGAAAATGAGCGGAAATCGAACATGAGCGGAAATCAGTTGGAAATGAGCGGAAATTGGCGGACACACACACACACACACCAGAACAATTTTCCAACTGAGCGTTCTGTTCCTCATTGAGCGCTTTTGGGTGAAATGAGCTTCTTTGTTTGCTCCAAACGAACAAATACAAAAAAACAAGTGCCCGGGGAAGACCTAGGTATGCCTGTAGGAAGGTCCGTAATCGGTTTGATCCGCTTTGGACTCGGTTTAACTCGCTTTGTAGCAGGCCAAGGCAGATCAAAAGGCATCTTGTTTTGCGAAGAGTACAGCTGCAAGATTCGTCTTTTAAGTACAAGTGTAGCGTGTGAAAAGCGCTTTGGCAGCTCCAGCTCCAGCTCGAATATCGCATGTGTATTTAAAAGCAAAGTACGCTTTGGCAGCTCCTGCTCAAAAGTCCTACCTTGTCGAATAGTACAAGTCTGCCACACAGCGATCAAGCACGATCGTTGCAGACTCGTTGCTTGTGCCCTGTGACAAAACATCTGTCAATAACGTGATCTCGTGTCACTACCTTGCTCTGGCTTTGCTAACTGCGCATTTTGCTTTAGAAGGAAATGAGAGCTTCTTGGGGTAGTGGGATGGCATCAGTATCAGTCCATCGAGTGCATTTTCAATTCTAAGTTAACTGGTCGGTCGCGCAAATGTCAAGACCAACAACTTCTGTATCGGCTGCTTTAAGCACAGCCTCCCCCAGTGCCTCCCCCAATGGTGGAGACAAAGTCCTCTTCCGATTGAAAAATGTCAAAGCGAAGCTTTCAACATCTCAGTGCAAAGATCCGTGCATTGCTCCACGCCAAGTAGTCACGCACCCAACCGAGAGAAATACAGTCATACCTGTAATGGTTCTTGATGGCCGCCCTTTTTGAAGTTGGGACCCTTCTGGCGCACACCTTCACAGCGCGCAACCCCTGCCTGCTGCTGTGAGGGCAGCATACTCGCCCACAAACATGCCGGCCAGCACCTGCCGTTCTGGAAAGACTGCGTGCGCACTCAACTGTCCTTTGCCCAACATCCACAGGCCTGAACCCAGAAAATAATTTGCCGCCTCACAGGCCTGTTTTGTCGGCTCAGCCACTTCGAAGAGTGGGAGCTGAACAGTCGAAACTCGCTTGGCACAAATTCGCTACGAGTAGCACGTTCAGGCGAAAGAGGCGGTTGTTGTCACTTCTAAGTCTCGGTGTAGAATCTCGTCCACCAAACCAAGCACCACTTGGGCCAGGCTCACTATGTCTGGCATGGTGTGTCACACAAGCAACACCCGTCAGACCATCATGTGCTTGGGCAACTACCAGTACCAATTCCAATCCACTGGGCTGATGCTTCGCATGAGAATCACCTCGAGCCGGCGCCTTGAAGTGTCCAGCCTGGCAGAGAAGGCGTCAAGTAAAGGCAAAAAGCAGGCAGCTGAGGTGCCTTCAGCAACGCAAAAACAAAAACAAATCAAGTAGAGTAACAAGTTCAAGAAGACTGCTCAATCCACTGGAGCGCCTGACTCACCGCAAGCTTCAAAAAGCGCCTCTCAGCTCCCCTCCCGCCGCCGTAATCCTTTTTGTGCGTGTTATTTCAAAGGCACTTCCCAAATGCAAACCACCCATTTCGAGGCTTCTCAGACTTGCTCAGTCAACCCCACGCCTGCAGCTTCTCCTCTGACTTCATGGCAGCCAGCGAGCCGACGAAAAGGGCAGCGGCGCTTGTCTGCTCCTGCGATTCCGCGGAGACACTTCAGGGTGAAGCCCAAGCCAATGAATCCTGGCAAAAAGCGGAAAAATACGAAGGCCAAACTACTTGTAGCAGGCTAGACCAAATAACAAGAACCAAGCAAAAGCAGCAACGACTACTCAGTGAGAGACTACTTGTTGCCAGTGACTTCCTCGCTATGGGGATAGAAATTCCCCACTTTATAGTGCAAGGATCTGCCAGTTCTCCACATGTTCATCTCACAAGTCTGAGCTCCAGAGAATTCCCGCATATGACTCAACCACTAAGGCGATGTAACTCAGTCTCAAGTCCTGCAGCGGGCCATTGAGGCAGACCTCACCAGTGAGGCTTCGCACTCCCAACTGTTCGAGAAGTAATTTGAATCAAAGGAAACGGACGAATTATACTTGTATACTGCCTTGTGAGGCAGGACTGCTCGACGTCAACATCTCGATCAAGCCCGCCTTCAGGAGGTCATACCCAAGCACCGACTGGGCCTACACAGAAGGAATGTCAGGTGCGCGCTTTCTTTCTCTCTCTCTCTCTCTCTCTCTCTCTCTCTCTCTCTCTCTGTGCGTGCGCGTTTGGGTGGCTGTGTGCGTCGCGTTGCATGTGTGCGTGTGGCTGTGGCTGTGGCTGTGTGCCTGTGTGTGTGTGTGGGTGTGTGTAGGTGTGGCAGGAGTGTGGCGTGGGTGTGTGTCTGTGTGTCTGTGTGTCTGTGTGTCTGTGTGTCTGTGTGTCTGTGTGTCTGTGTGTCTGTGTGTCTGTGTGTCTGTGTGTCTGTGTGTCTGTGTGTCTGTGTGTCTGTGTGTCTGTGTGTCTGTGTGTCTGTGTGTCTGTGTGTCCGTCCGTCCGTGTGTCTGTGTCTGGGTGTCGATGTGTCTGTGGGCCGTACTCGCACTGCTTGCAGTTTTGGCCCTGATTCAGCGCTCTAACTCAAGGGGGAAGTGGCTGAAATGGAAAAGCACCCAGCCACTCTACCTCAAAGTCATCTCGCCTCAGCCAGCATCGCTTGGACCTCTGGCAAGTGCTGGATACCCTTTAGCATGCCCACGTACCTGGCGTGCCAAGGTAGATAATGGCAACCCACGGTCGCATGAGTGGCACATGATTGTCAGCAGGCCTTTGTACGACTGTCCAAGTCAACATGACATCCATCTCATTAGGACAGCGTTCAACTACTGCGCCTCTGCGATCATCAATCTATCACTTGTGCTCGCCCGTTCGACCGGTCGAAGAGGAGCTCTCAGCACCCGGCTCGGAGCCCCATCCGGGGAAAATCACCCCCACTGGCTCAAACTCCTGAGCGATGGCGTCAGGCTTGCGGCAAATTCTTTTCGCGCCAGCTCTGGTCTGGAACCAGGGACCGGGGTTATGTGAGGGCGACAACTTGCATCGTGGGCAGAAAGGCCCTTTTGCCTTCTGGCTCAATTGAGATGCTTTGATTGTGCGCCTTGCGGCATTCTTGAAGGCTGCCGACGGTTGAAGGTACGAGACTTTCCCTGACAAACTACCATACAAACACCTCAACAAACGCCATGCCACAAGCACACACGCATACGCATAGTATACACCCATATACACCCAACTTTCGAAACAATTGGAGCCTCGGTTGGTGAAATAAAAGTTTCTACACGTGGCAACAAAATACACGTGGCCCTGGTTGATGGCGGTTGCTCCTGTTTGCTTCCTCTTCAACAGTTGTGTCTGAATTGCGGAAGCTTCCGGGCGGCTGCTTCACAAATGTTGCTGCGAAAACATGCCCGGCCAACATAATGAACAGAATGGTCGCTTAGCAAAAATTGCGTAATAAAACCCACTCCTTGCGCTTGCCCCTTGGAAGCGCTGTAATTCCGAGTCCATTTTGCGGCCGGCCAACACGATCTGAAGGGCGGCAGCCTGGTTGACGGGCGGCGCAAGGGCGCCAGGGCTCGCAGCCCGCAGCAACTGCAGCACCTCCTGTGAGCCGTGCCCGAGTTGCCCAGCGTGGGATGGGGAACAGGAAGCTTTGGCTGGACCTACAGTAATTATTGGATGGGGCGGCTAGAGAACATAATATTGACAACTTCAAAAACGAAACAAAACAAAGCCAGCCCGAATATGCAAGCGAGCTTTTGCTTCCCACTTGCAACAGGGAATCAACCACGCCCGATACCTACCACGATGGAAGTATTAACCTCAGCCCTGTCAGCCCTGTCGGCCCAGTCGGCCCTCTCCACCCAAGAAATCCCTTCTCCATTGGCCCGTTTTGGTGAGTACTCTTAGCATGACACACAGAGCTTGTTTTGCTTCTTTGTTCGGCACAGACTCATACTCAAACACAGAATGGCCATCTCACACGTTGGTTCATTCAGGCTCCTTGATGTAACTGAGGTCATCTGATCGTGCCCTACTACGTGATATAATTCCATTAAAAAAACACAGTCCACGTCTCTACAGGCAAGCAATGGTCATGCATCTGATAATATGAACCAGTTGGTGCTGATTGAGGCAAGCTTAAGCGAATAACATCGCGGGAGGGAGCACCGGTAATGACGCAGCATGCTGAACCATGCCATTGGGCAAAAAAATATCTGCCATAAGCTCAAGGAAACTCAGCTGGACGTTCTCAGCCTCCAACTTTTCTGCATCGCCAACACCAGGCAACACGCTAGATACCTGCGTGCCCGTTTTGGGCACGGAGGTGCTTGCCAAAACCACGGGCTCCACAGCTTCCACGGACTCAGCTCCTTGAGACAACGTCAATATCAATGTAAGCAATGTAATCGCTGGCCTGCCGGAGGTTCTGGCAAGCTGGCGACGCGGCCTCTTTGAGGGACGCGCTGAGGTATGCACACAGTGACCTTGGGAAAGTGATTGACGTAGCATGATGAAGCATGTATCTGTATATAGATCTGTCTAAAGACCTATATACGCCCACGAGAGACAAGACAGGTTGATCAAAAGAGTACATGAGCTTCTCGCTTGGCCGGCGAGTCTCTTCACCCGCAACACAGTTGCTTTATAGACTCTTGTGGTGCGGAATTGGAAGTACCCCAATTGTTCATAATAATCTTCTCGCAGCACACGGCCATAGATTACGCTCACCAGGCCGAGGTCACAAAGTAGTGGCACAAGGCAAAGCCATGCCCCGACATATCTCTCCATTCATGTCAAGTGACTGGAATAGCTGTTGGCCCTTGATCGAATGGCCGTCGCGCTTTTTACAAAAAATCCGCAAACGCATGATTGTTGCTCCAAATTGCCACGTTGCCTTGTTGACAGCAAAAGGTACCTTGCCATAAAGCTTGACAGGCTTGCGACATGGCCCCGAATCTGGGGGCTGGCGTCCTCTTACAAGGCGGCCATCGCAACTTTCCAGCATGCACCTTTGGAGCATTCGGCGAGGTTGAACTGGTGGTCCAGCCGCAAATACGTGTCGTCCACTCGGTCCTCGGCAAGGGAACCTTCCCGGGCTTCGGTGAGTGTCAATGTTGACTCGGGGGCAAAATGAAAAAGCACAGGTTTGGCCGACATTCAGTAGTGGATCACAGTCGACAAGTCCAGCGTCATGGATGTGAGTTGGCTGTGGGGGCCTAACTTCAATTGAACAGTCCTACACGTCAAACTACCATGGACATGCGCGCGTAAAGCTATCCGCAAAGCCCAAGTTGTCATCCAGGTTTCTGCTGAGTAGGAACAGCGTCAACATGATATGCCCTGCTTAAATTTGACTCTAGGACCCTTTCCTGGATTCAAATCCAAGTCTTTCCTTGAAGCGGTCCAACCCTGGACGAAGAAGTGCCGCACCGCCCCAAAACGCCAAGGCCCTGCCTGGGGCGACCGCCCAAAGGCCTCCGTCACCGACACCTTGGTGCAGTCCCTGGTCACGTTCTCCGACTGCTCCCAGCCTGGCAGGCGGCATGGATGCCCGGCCCGCGGAATCTAGGCACAAGAAAGCAACAAAAGAGAGCGCCCACGTGAATTACAGGCACTGGGAAACCGAGTGGGGTGCAAAATCGGCCCAAAAGTCGAAGAATTCGAAGACATCAATGGTCCTCTGTGCAGTCAAAGGGAACGTGCTGTTGGGCGGGATCAATATATCCCGGATTTCATTGGGCCTTTCTGCAACATGCTAATTACCTGTGGGATACACACCCAGGTGCTCCGACAGTTGCTGCCAACATCTCCATGCGCTGATGCACTTCCTGGACATCCTGCATTAGCAAAAGCAAAAACGGTTGGGCCAGCTGAGAGTTGGATACTATTCCCCTTAAACTTGATTGGACATTATTCAAGCTTCCGCAGACCCTTCAGCATCCTTGCGGGGGGGGGGGGGCATCCCTTTCGCAGACTTCCGTGGCACATGCTCTTCATCGCTTGCTTCCGCAAACTTTGCATGCTTTACAGGATTTGCTTCCTCACGAGAATTGGCGCAAAAAGGACAGTCCGTTCAAGTAAGTAAGGAAAGTCATGTTCCGCCTGTGTTGGTGCAGCGTAGGCACTTGCCTGCAAACGCAGGGTCACCCCCCCGCGGAGCTTCCGCGAAGTCCGCCGGCTGTTTTGGTCCTCTTGGCCTACTGTTGGCAACTGCTCTTCTAGTAAGCGTTGCGCTTCTTGTATGCAGCAACACCTTTATGCAGCCACACCTGTCTGCTCCTACCGTAATGCTTTCCCCGTGCTTTGCCACGCACACAAACTGAAGCAGATCAGATACTGCTGTGTTGTCAAACCACAAAGCTTCCGCAAACCTTCTGCGAAAGAAACCCCTTCTGCGAAACCTTTCGCATGCTTCCACGTGGTTGGTGCAGCGCTGTTCAAGACTAGTGTCCCTCTTTGTAATACTTTCAAAGTTTGCAACAACCTGCCGCTCAGCTGATTTTGAGCCGTCTGTAGCAGCGCGATTATGATACTCAATAGGCCAAGTCCATGCTGTGTAGTATGTAGTCACTCTCGTGCATGTGCATGTGCATGTGCAAGTGCAAGTGCAAGTGCAAGTGCAAGTGCCTGTGCCTGTGCGTGTGCCTGTGCGTGTGCGTGTGGGTGTGTGGGTGTGCGGGTGCGTGTGCGTGTGCGTGTGCGTGTGGGTGTGTGGGTGTGTGGGTGGGTGTGTGGGTGGGTGTGTGTGTGTGTGCCGTGTGCGCGTGTGCGCGTGTGTGCGTGTGTGCGTGTGTGCGTGTGTGCGTGTGTGCGTGTGTGCGTGCGTGCGTGCGTGTGTGCGCGTGCGCGTGTGCGTGTGCGTGTGCGTGTGGGTGTGTGTGTGTGTGTGGTGTGTGTGTGTGTGTGCGTGTTTGTGTGTGTGTGTGTGTGTTCGTGTGTTGGTGCGTTTGTGTGTTTGTGTTTCTGTGTGTGTGTTTTGCGTCGTTGTTGCTTTCAGCTACTGGGGCGAAAAAGAAGGATCACACCCCAACAACACACCTGTGCTCTCTCAACGCGCCTACACGGCGCCGGGAGAGCTCCTCTCGCTCTTGCTGCTCCTGCATCAAACCCCACCTTCAACGACTCCCCTCTTCTGCATGCCTGGTTTGCAGTTGTCCAAACTGATGGGTGTTCACTGGTGGTTGTGTTCAACGAACCAACACACCAACCTCAAGAACCTCGAAAAAAATGACACACACACAGAGTCCAGTTAGGTTGGCCGAGTTGGTTGGCTGACTCGTCTAATGAATTGAAGTGATGAGCCTGGGAACTAGGAGTCCAAATCACGATCTCGTTTGGGAATTCATGTCGTGGTCGCTGTCTGCAAAACGAACTCACGGTTTGCTGCGCCTAGGGCCTGCAACGGATTTCTTCCAGCGATACAATTCCAGTTCTCACGGCGAACAAGGGACCATTCCTTCACAATGAGAGATGCGGCGCAAACATTTGTCTCGTATTTGATGTCTTGTGATGTACTGCATTGTGCTGTGCAAAAGGCATTGTTTTGTGTAGGCGGTTTCGGCTTGCTGGTTGCCTCAATCCTTTGGTAATCAACCTGACCTTCTGCCTGTCAGCAACATAATTTCAAAAAGCAACCACCCTGTTGGTTCCCTGAGGGACGGGAGTGGCTTTTTGAAAGTAACACATACACACACAAACTCACATACATGTGAAATTGGAAGCCGATCTTGTTGACTGGTTTGGAATTCCTAGTTGCTGATGGCATGATGCATGATATGCTGCTCAGCCCAGCACCTGCATGTCCTTGTAGGCTTTCTCCTCCTCTGCTTGCATGGAAGCCTGGCAAGGCGCGGTGTGCGCACGTCTTTCCATTGCAACCGGGCTGACTCCAAATGAGGCTCGCCCAGCAAATCTGGAACCCCTACCACAACAGCTGATAAGCAGCGGGCAAACTAAATGACTATGGGCTGGTGGGGCACCTTACAACCAATTTGTGTCCTGACGAAAGGAGTAAATAGCTATAGTAGCCGTTGAGCCCCCTCATGTTACCTTCCTTTTGCGGAGCCTGAGCCACTTCCAGTGGAAACAAAACAGGATAGCATGCAAAGGTGGGCACCCGAAGCCTTGATTCCATGGCACAAAAGGGTTAAAACAAGCACACCCTGGCACCCTGGAAATCGCACTTGCAACCTGCTCGAAGGGTGAAGGGCTGAAAAGAGCACAGCTTGAAGAAAAGCTCGTGATCTGTGTACCCCTTGGAAGCAAAGTCCGCTCTTCCAAACATCTGCCCTTCGAGGTGTAAGCCTTGGCTCCCAAAGATCAGCTGTTCACGAATATTCCCAGTGGATGCGCCTCAAGAACCCTCATCTCTATGGGCTTGGAGTTTGAGTCGTGTTGTTACAAAGGACCAACTCCCCTCCCGAAGGAAACCACAAAAGGATGAAGAGCAAAATACTCTTCCAGCACCACCTGGTTAGGTTTATTGTGGATGGGAGGGTAACCTTTGTAGAGGGATCCCCTTTTAGAGGACTTTGAACAGGCATCCATGTGGGTGTGTGACGGGGCAGCGACGGAGAAAACCGCGCCTTGAGCCGCCCCATTGCCTGACTCGCAGCGCCTGGGGGCACCACAACCTGAGACGCACGTTGAGTTAGACGGCAGGGCTCTCTAGGTTTGCTTAAAATAGCAGGGGACAAATAGGAAGCCGCTCCCGCTTTTGCATGCTGGCAACGTGGCGAACCAATCGCGTTCCTGTAAATGGCTGGAGTAGTTTTGAGTGGATTGATGCGGTGGTTGTTCATGAAAAACAATGGAGCCATCGTGCGGCTGCTTTGCCGTTGCGCATGTAAGTCTACTTTCATCCAACAGGTGGCATTCAATGAGAACATGCTTAAGTAGAGAGTGAAAGAAGCCCTGACCCCCCAAAAAAGCTGCAACTTACACCCGGACGATTTGGTTGAACAAAGCGATAATGCACGTTGCCAAAAACAAGGTACGGACATCTAGTAGAGTTGAAATAGCTGCTTTCCGTGATGTTGTTCCGAACGGATATTCCAGGGCGGCTCCAAACCGTGCACCTTCTGTGCCTTCTTGCTGCATGCAAACTCTGATTCACTTGGTCTTAATGCGAAATCAAAGGGCGTCCGGATCAAGCCGGCGGTTGATGCAAACATCTCTGGTTCCGAGAAGGCAAAATGGCGCCTCTTCCCCAAACTCATAACTCATAAGATGCGTCCATGCCTCTGGGCGAAAAGGATCTGACAAAGTAAAGCACTCAAGCACTAGCAAGCCTCGACTTGTTGCTTCTGCCAGGCTTCAACAAGCCAGTGCGGAGCCATTCAAGAAGACTCATTTGTAGAATCCAAACGCGAGATCAGTGCTGCCACGCCGCCGCTCGGGCGCGGGGCACCTGCGCCTTGCGCGTCATTTGGAGGCCCTGGCCGGGGGGACACAGTCGCGGGCGCACCGTGTCCTTGGCAAGGCGGAGTTTTGGGGACTTTGGGGATCGAGCCGCTCGCTCAGGGGCATCCAAACAAGGCTTAAACAAAATCGGAACAAGGAGGAATTTCCTCATTCCCGAAGAACAAGCAAGCAGGTCCAGGTGTGCAACCAAAGCTGTTTATGGAGTAGTAAATGGGCTTGGGGAATCAGAAATTGATATGGCAGTTTCCCTTGACATGGGACAATCATTGTGCACGGACAACATCTGGGACCAGCAAGAACACAGGGGTGCTTCTGCGCAAAATGAGTGCATAGTGATAGCACACCTGATGAGCAGTAAAGTAGTGACAGTGTCAACAGCAATATGCTGTTAGTGACGGTTCTGTGCCAATCTCCGAAGGGGCATCGATCAGTGCCCAGCAATTGTTTGCAATTATTGTACAACCGCTGGTATAGTGCAATGGTGCCACACTTGTTACAAACTATCAAATGCATCGAACAGGCAAGGAACATTCGCTCACAAAGCAATCCTGGCTCCAGCTCAAACATCCCACGTTTTCACGCGCTGTGGCAGCTCCACCTTAAAACACACACACACAAACACACATAATTCGCCTCGGCCCCAAAGGGGCCAAGGGCGCTCAGATCTCTTCTCCAAAGAGAATCTTCGCTTTTCCCCTCCCCCAACCCCCTCCCCGACCAAAATTTTGCCGGGCCGCCCCCCCCAACCCATGTCGGCTGGACCCAAAATCCTGTCCGGCGGGCCTTGAAATTTTCGGGGTTCGTCGGCGTCCAGCTCCATGGGTCCATTTTTGTCGAAAATGTGCTGACAATTGCGAAAATCACTAAAAAATTGCTTTTTTGTCCTGAAAAGCATGACCTCCTGGTGGCCAGGCCTGCCTGACGTGTCTGAGACTAGGCTCAGGCCCAGCCCAACCAGCAACCCGCCTGCTGGCCAGGCCTGTCAGCCCAGCCCACCCAGCCTCAGGCCCAAGCTTGTCTGAAACAGGCCTACCCCAAGTCATCCAGCAAGCCCAGCCCAGCGCCCAGCCCAGGCCCTAGGCCGGCCCCAAGGTCAGGTTTGTCTAACGCCAACGACCCAGTCTCACGTGTCTGAAACTGGTCTCAAGCTATGCCAGCCACCAAGCCCGTCTGACGTGCCCCAGCCCCTCAGTCCGGCTGCCCAAGCAACTCAGCCCAGGCTGGCCAGGCCTTGACCTCCTGCTCGCGTCTGGCCCCAAGTCATCCAGCAGGCCCAGCCCCGTCTCAAAGTACGCCAGCCTGAGACTGGCCTCAGGCCCAGCCCAGCCAACTCGCCACCCAGCCTCAGGCCCAAGTGTGTATGAAACAGGCCTTGCCCATCCAGCAACCCGCCCAAGCACAGCTCAGCCCAGCCCGCCCAGCCCAAGTTCCAGGCACAACCAGCAGCCTGGTCCGGCTGCCCGGCAGCCAGCAACCCACCCATGGCTTCGCAGCCTCGTGGCTGAGACTAGCTTCAGGCCCAGCCCAAAGCCTGCCCAGCCCAGGCCCCAGCGCATCTCAGGGCATGCCAGCCACTACCGGCCCCCAGCTCCCAGCCCACCAGCAGGCTCAGCCCAGTGTGCCAAGGTCAGGTTTGTCTAACGTGTCTGAGACTGGCCTCAGGCCAACGACCAGTCTCACGTGTCTGAGACTGGTCTCAAGCTATGCCAGCTACTCAGCAGCCCAGGCTGACCAGGCCCCTTCGGCGCAGTCTGAGACTGGTCTCAAGGTATGCCAGCCTGAGACTAGCCTCAGGCCCAGTCCCTCAGCCCGCCTGCTGGCGTGTCTTACGTGTCTGCGACTGGCCTCAGGCCCAGCCTAGCCAGCAACTCGCTACCCAGCCTCAGCCCATCCAGCGACCCGCCCAAGCACAGCTCAGCCCAGCCAGCCGAAGTTCCAGGCGCAACCAACACCATAATCCAGCTGCCCAGCACCACCCATGGCTTCGCAGCCTCGTGGCTGAGACTAGCTTCAGGCCCAGCCCAACCAGCAACCCGCCTAAGCCAACCCCACCCAAGCCCACCCGGTTTGAGACTCGCAGGCCTCAGCCTATCTAGCGCCGAGACTGGGCCTCACCAGCCTGGGCTCAACTAGCGTCTAGCCCAGCCCAGTCCGCCTGCTGGCCAGGCCTGTCTGACGTGTCTGAAACTGGCCTCAGGCCCAGCCCAGCCATAGCCCAGCCCCCTCAGTGCGGCTGCCCAGCCCGCCGTAAACTAGCTTCAGCTCAACCAACAACCCACGCAAGCAAGGTCCAGCCAAGCTGCCCGAGACTAGCTTCAGGCCCAGCGCAGGCTTATCTGATGTGTCTGAGACTAGCCTGCGCGAGGCCGGCTTGTCTGACTTGTCTGGAGCCAGCTTCAGGTATTCGGACCTTCCCAACACTGGATTTCGGTGTTCCTGACCCTTCCCTCAAACTAGGCTGGGCCGAGGCGGGCAACGCGAAGCGTTTACAATTACTTTGTAGGCACATTTGCAGTATGCGAAGTGCACTGTGGCCATGCCTTACTTCGCGCAGCCATGGTACTCGTTACGAATTTGTTTTGGATTTGTTCGGTATTCGTTTTGGTTTGTTGCTTCTTGTGCGCCCCGAAGCTGGCTGCATGCACAACAAGCCTCTGCATCATCACGGTCTCGTTTCATCTTGGTTTGATCATCAACTTGTTTTTAGGAAACACTACCTCGTTCTGATCTCGCAAAACATCGTGGGGGACCATCTCGTTTCGCAGGGACATCTCAACTGTTTGAGGTATTCTGACCGTAGCAATCCATATTCAATTGTTGATTGATTCCTCATAAGTAGGAACTACCGAGACAAAAAGGGAAGCCACGGAGTCACTCAACTCTCTCTCGCTCTCCCTCGCGTAAAGCCTGAACAAACCGCCCCTCCCTTGAGTCTGTTTTCCCTCAATCAAATGCCGCTGGAAATGACAAGCGTCAATGGTGGGACCCTCAGGGCAGGCGCCTGTCCCGGCTCCCTCCAGCAAATCGACCGCGACAGCGGTGGAAACAATCTCGATCCTAAGCGTCGACTGCCGACTGCGTGGATGCATGTCGAAAGTCTCATGGACAGGCAGCAAATCCAAATCACTGAAAGCAATAAATACAGGACAGGAGAGGGCAATGCCGGTCCGTCCCTATCAAAATGTGCGGCGAGTCTCGCTACTCGCTCTTCTGTGCTAGACACGACAACCATTGCTTGGTCTGAATGCCATGCGTTGACTGTCGCATGCTCATGGATCTTGTCACACTAAGCAATTGCACCTCTTAAATGCTTCATCTCTCGGCATTAAACAATCTTCTTTAAGCCACTAAATTTGACTTTAGGTATATGAATGTGAACTGCGTAGTAGAATTGGTATGCGGCTATAAACATATGGATGCTGAAATCGCAGACTGCTGTCGTCAAGACAGTCGCGAGTCGCGTCCCATCTCTTGCTAGACGGCAAGGCATTTACTCTTGCCTGCATCCAGTATTTGCGCTGTCTCATGCTTCCAACCATCACTTCCTTGCCTTCTTGCAATCCTACAGGTCTGGGCTGTGACGCTGCAAAACATCGTTTCAGCTAATTACATACCGGGCTGACATCTAGGCTGACATCCGTGAACTTCACGCTGAACTGCAAGTCCAAACGTGGGCCATCCAGCAGCGTTGAACTCACCAACTAATTAAATGCCATTGGCGACAATCTGCTTGATTATTCCCGATTCCCACGGCCCTTCTGGTGATGTTCGCAAAGTGGCACAGCCCAAGAACAACGCACGTCCTTCCTCTGGCAGAATGGAAGCAATGTTGGCGACACTCTCGCCCGACCCCGCGGAGCCAAGACTCTTTATGCCTTTTGGCCTTTCCAAAGTTCGAGTCTTTGACAATCTGCGGCGACACGCAACAAGGCTTGTAAATCTTGACCACAGACTGGCACATTGCAAATAATCTCTGTGGCATGTATATGCTAAACGTTGTGGTCGCTTTGCGCAGTCTCTTTTAAGAGAGGTGCATTTCAGTGGAGAACCGTGATCATGCTCGCTCTTCGCCCTGCGTTGATAACATGGCCAAATGACAGGGCCCTTAGCAAAGATGTCGCTGAAACATGCAAATAGTACTGCCTGCACACTGCAAACATGGCCTTACGCTTGCCCAGGACCTACGTGGCCAATCTGTCACAGGCTTTTCTGCTAGCGGTGATTTGATCTCGGAGGCGTGCTCGGAGGCGTGCATGATAAGTCTTATTGCTTGACTTTGCAGTCCATCAGTCTCCAAGCAAGCTGAGGTTTGGCAGGGAGGAACCTTCAAGAACCCAGCAAAAGCTGCATGCGCCTCCAGCTCACATCTTTTCAGTGCTGTCTTCGCTCCTATTCGTAATTTTGGAGCAACCTTGAAACGGGTTATGTTGTTCGGGACTGGTGTGTCGATTTTGGTCTGACATTTGATGGTGGGTCTGAGTTATGAAGGTTGTTCTTCGTGTTTTGATTTAGCATGGCTTTGGGCAAGCAAGTCAGCGGAACGCATTTGCATAATTTTCTGACCCACACTTCTGACCCACACCCTGGGGGCCTTCCAAAAGAAAATGGGGCCATTTTTCCATCCATCTTGGGGTCCCAAGGGTCGCCATCTTCTCCACCCCTCCCCATGCCTCGTTTCCGGCCGCCCGGCCGCCCGGCCTGTTCTTGCAGGACTTCGAGTCCTCGCTCTGCGAAAGGTCGGAGGCCCTAGCCGCAGCCTTCCGAGCTCACCGGGTGAATGTGGGAACCGGACGCCCCGAAATGAGTGGTTTTCAACTTTGGGCTGCCCTTTGATCCCATCTGAACAGTGCACCCTAAAAAAAAAGAAGAAAAAAAACAACTCCCGTAACCTGCCACTAACATGGAACCTAGCAGTCTTAACAGTGTTAATTCCCTCCAACTTCAGCTAAATGGCTTGGACCCCTTCAATCTCTACATCTCAAAGCATGCTTGTACACAGGATGAAACAACTTGATATTCTGCTGAGTACCTTCATTTGCGCTTGTCATGCGCCTCGATTGCGCTCCAAGCAAACTGATTCCTGCAACATCATCTATGGAAGGCACCTCCGATCTCTCGCCCCAATATGCACTGTTGGATGACACACAACATGTCATGGCAAACACTACATTAGTAGCCTCCCACCCACCAACGTGACACATGAGGAAGAGCCAATAAACCTTATTCAACCAACACACACGTGAGCCACGTGAGTCATATTAAGAACAGCTGACTGTCTTCCGCAACGCCAAAAAATTGTTTGATCTCGGTTGGGACTCGCTTAGACTCGTTTCACAAAGAATGAAGCAAATTAAGAGGGTACCATCTCGTTTTGCAGCACTTTGTGTTTTCTATGCTTTCAAGCTTGCGAATCGCACATTTTCAGTGCAAGTCTAGTACGCCAAGCAGACTTTGGCGGCGCAAAATGCAGTTTGCCTTGGCAGCTCCAGCTCAAAAAGCACAAATTGCCCGTACAAGTGTGGTACGGGAAGTACGCTTTGGCAGGAACAGCCCGGACATCGCAACTTCATAGTGCAAGTGTGTGAAGCGCGCTTTGGCAGTTCCAGCTCAGAAATCACACGTCGGTACAAGTGCATGCGAAGAGCGCTTTGGCAGCTGACTCCCCGAAGCTATGACATTTGTTACAGATTTATTTTGGACTCGTTCTGGACTTGTGGTGCGCCCCGAAGCCGGCCCCACGCACAACATTGACTAAGACGCAATCTCGTTTTATCGTGTTTCGCATGGTTTTCTACAACACTATCTCCTTCTGATCTCGTCAATTTTGGGGGGGAGGGGCCATCTCGGATTACAGAGAAATCTTGTTTTAGAGAGAAATCTTAATTCTTGCTTCAAAGGACCGAGGTTCTTCAACCCAAATGGGCGTGGGATCTCGCCCCCGGCGGTGCCTGCATTTGCCGTCCTCTGGCCAGGATCTTGGCCCGGGGATTCTGCCGCACTTCTTTGGGCTCCTGAGCTGCAGGCCAAGTCAGCTGCCAGGCTATCAGCACAGCAAGGAGGCGTAGCGCATGATTCCGCGCTCCACCAACAAGAACAAGCAAATCTTGAATTATCCTGCCACTCAAAAATATTCGAATGACTCTATGAGTCAAGCACTCGCCGAACCACTGGAACTTCCCTTGTCACGAGGTTCAGGTCTTTGTCCACTGGACTCAACTCCCAATGTGTCTGTGTGTGTGCATCCAGGCGGGTCTGTCTCAATCAACATCTGGCAACCCCAAACATGGTGCCCTTTTGTTTTCCCTTTAAAGGACCCAAAAAGCAGTATCCGCAAAAAAGACACACCAATTTGCGACCCCCCTTCACCGAAACTGCAACTCGGTGAACCGATCCTTTGACCACTCTGGCACTGCCCGGCTAGGCTGCGAATTGGTCTACCTCAAATGGGTGTGTTTTTTTGAGGGCACCTTTTTGGGTTGGTTTGAAGGAAAACCAGCAGGAAAACCACCTTTTTGAATGGAGCGACTCGGTTTCCAAAAGCCGGCCTCTTCTTTTTTGTTGGATGACCCCCTCGGAACATACATAGCCCGAAAGAGTCCACACTGCCATTAGCGAGAAGCAAATAGCCCAAAGCATTCCTTTGGGCGTAGTGGCACAAATGCAGCAAGCACATCCTGGGCTTTCTGAGACACGTCCCATGGACATTGCCACAAACCTTGCCACCTTGAAGGTACCTTTCAAGCAATCGTGACATTGACACTGGGTATATTTATGGTGGCGTATTCGTAGCTCATGGACCTGGCGCTGCCCAGCGATGGGTGTATCTCTGTGGGTAGGACACAGCTAGGCATTTGCAACTTGCAGGTGATGTCCAATGCTACCCTTCGAGATCTCTAGAAGGGAAACTGAGCGACCTTTGCCCCATGGGGTGCTTCTCCTGTACCAGAAAGACAAAAACGGATCGAGTGAGAACGGGATGAAGCCTTGGGCTCTCCTGCGCTGGGAACCAGCGGCACCTGCCAATGGGCTGCCTGGGGGGCGCCTGCACCTCAAAGCGCCGCGTCGCCGCAGTCTGCTTCCGGGGCCCGCAGTTCAGGTCGAAAGTGCGGCTCAACGCCTGCAGGCGGGTTGGTAGGAGGGTAGCTGGGTAGGTGAGGTGGGTAGGCGGGCGGTGGGCGCTGCGTGGCGATACCCTCCAGTCATTATCGCGAGAGCTGGAAAGCGGCGAGCCAAGGAAAAAAAAGAACGGGCTCCATGCATGAACGGCGAAAGGCCAAGTCAAAGTTCGATACAGTTTGAGACATGCGTTTGCGGTTCACCGGCAAGAAGCAGTTACCAGCCGTCCAAGGAACCACAAGGTAGACGGTAGAGAAACATCGCTGGTTTCCTTCTTGTGAATCTTTGAAACACCTTCTGCTTTCATGCGTCTCTACACGCTTTTAATCCCTTCCCAAAACGTATCTCAAAACAGGGCCAGCCAAAAGACCAAAAACAACATTGCCGCAGCCCACTTGTTAATCGGCCAGCCATGCCCTTATCTGACCCTCACGCTTTGCAGCCCCAAGCAACTGATCAGGATAGCATATCCTCAAACTTCCTTGTACGATTACGGCTGGAACCTCCAACTGAGGGGGGTCGTCCAACCCTGTAGAAAGTAAAGGCGGCTTGTCTTTATAAGGGAATGTCCAGACTTGAGCTTGTCTGTGGGGTGTGCCGGTTCCCTACCCCGTAAACGTGCTCGGCGGCCCGCCGAGCTCTTTTAGGGGGTTGCCAAGTCTGCAACCACAAGCCGTAAGAGCGGTCATCACCACCTTGGGGTCACCGAGCTCCCTACCCTCTAAAAGTGCTCGGCGGGCCGCCGAGCTCTTTTAGGGGGTTGCCAACTCCACATCCCCGTAAAAAAGCAATTGGAGAAGCGTGTGGCTTGCAGCCAGACACCTCTAGCGGCAAAATACACGTTCGCACTCGGGCTACAGCTTGCAGAAAGTAAGGGTGGCCTGTCTTTAAACGGGAATGTTCAAACTTGAGCTTGCTTCCCTGCAATCGTGCTGGGCGGCCCGCCGAGCTATCTTAGAGGGCTAACTGTCCAATCAAATGCCATGACAGTCGTCCACCCTGCTCCCTGCAATGTTGATATCTCTTGGTGTTGCAGCGTTTTCCTTCAAATGTGTCCATTGCGTCAAGATGATAGTCCGTCTGTGGCAACATCCTGCCTCGACGTCAGTGCCCTCCAGCACTGGAATGTTGGTGTCCAGCTCTTGCCTGCGCAAAACTTCTGTGAGACAGCTCAGTATCTGCTTGCATTCTTGCAAACTTTCAGCATCAGCTCCATACAAAAGCATGGCATGCCGCTTGCTACCACTAATATGCCGCCCTGGGTGCTGAACTTTCCGCAGCATTCGGTCCATGCCAAACTGCACTTTCATGGCTTCATAGTCCGAGATCATCAACCTAGCAAACTGCATGTCTGAGTTGGCACCATGCAGCACATCGTCAGCATTAAGTGGCTGAGTGATCACGATTGGTTGGCGATAACACAACATGAGCGAGTACGATCCGAAGGCCTCAACGCAAAGCAAGCCAAATCGGCTTGAAGGAAGAACAAGACGGCAGTGCTTCAGGTTTGGCAGTGCATGTGGCCGCCAGCTGTGTATCTCACAACAAGGAAGCCACTTCGATGTTACAAACGGTCTTGGCTTAGGCCATGGGGCTCAAACATTCGCTGCTGCTTCAGCCCCTCTGAATCCTCCACCGGCAAGTTTTGCAGAGCCTGAAGGCGTGCGCAGGTGTCTGAGGATCACCTTATGACTTGTTTGAACTAGACTTACCTCAATGCATCCTGAGGCCCATCTGAATCTAGCAGGCAGGTCAAAACAGGAGAGCCAATCACTGTCAAGGGAACGTCTGCCATGATAAGGAATGACAGAAACCTGAAGACCGCACAATAAACCGAGCACATGTGTATATGTAGTACAGTATATGCAACCGCCACACAACAAAGCCTTACGCTAACAACAAGCGTCTTGCTGCGGTGGCACGGAGTCCAGCGAAACGACCAACTCAACTGGCTGTTGATCCGCCTCTTTGGGTGTGTATATAAGCTATGCGCTGATGGGTGTGCTTGTGTGAGGCAAACACATTAATGCAACTTGCATAGGTAAAATAGTACGCAAGCACACACACACATGCACACGTGCACATGCATGCTTAAACGCACACTCATCAGAATGCGCAGAAGGGGTCACAATCTACCTGCTCCTCCGTCTATCTGTCAGTCTCCCTGTCTCTGTCCCTCTTCTGTTCCTTTTGTTTCCCCCCTCTCTCTCTACCCAGCTGTCTATCTATCAAATACTGATCCATTGATCCATTAATGATCTATGCATCCATCCATGTCTCTTTCTCTCTCTCTCTCTCCCTCTCTCTCTCTTGATACGTATATACAATATGTATATATATATATAATAGTAAATATGTAGCATTAGTGCATAAATACTCTCTAGCCAATTCGGAATAACCATAATCCTTGTTTTGGTGGTAACATTCTGAATCCGGAAGGAATCCTGCAAATTGTTGGGCAAAACCTCGTGCTGGAGCAGCAGAAATCCGCGCAACTCACAATCGGCAATCCGCAAGCCGCATGATCCAATCCGTAACCCGCATAACCCGCAATCTGCCAATCATTGGGGACTAGGTTTCAGCAAGGTAGACTATCGATGTCTCTATCTCGCTGCAAATGTGTGTCTCTGCTTGTATATCAGCTAAACATTCATCCATCTAATCTGTATCGAAATGATATATAAGCCCCATCCCCTTCCCCCAAAGATCATTCAGTCAAGCTTGACTTCTAAAGCCTGCCAGCACGCTCTGGCTAGCAATCCGTTTCTACTGGGCGATGCGAAAACGATCAAAGTGGACCCTTTCGGCTGTTGACGGCCTGATCAATATACGCAGCAGCCGCTGCAAAGTGCGAAGCGCAAACTCCCAGGAGGAAATGTGATATGTGGATCCCTGGCTGTTCTGGAGCGACGTGCCGCTCTTCCCATCGCGCTGCGCGCCTCCTCGGACAAGTAGCGGAAGATCTTCTGAGGCAGCGCCTCGAAGGCGTTGCTCTTTCCCCGCGACACGGAGGGCGCCAGGAAGAGATGCGAGGCGTCGCAGAGCCAAAGCTGGGCCTTGGAGTCCTGGAGATCCGGCCCATCTTCCACACGTAAGGGCAAGGCCATTCTCAAACTGGGAACAAGGCCTTCATTGCTCCCACGCAAACAACAAATCCCAAAGGAAACTAAAAAGGAAATAATCTGCTGCACCTATTTCCTGCCCTTGGTGCCATGCCAAACTACTACAATCCCCAAAGAGGAATCAGGGAACCTCCCGGTCAGGACCTTCCTGAGCTCGCAATAAACTCCCGGCTTGGTGAGCTTGCTTTCCTTTCAGTCCTTGTAGAAGGTGAACTTGCCAGACACCAGCTCCTTAGAACCCACCCAAGTCTTCGGGTCAAAAATATAAATTTGGAAATTAGAGTCCGGAAACGGTAACAAACTCATGGGACATTTGAATGGTACTGCAAACTCTGGCACGCCTACACACGAAACAAGAAACAAAAACAAGCACACAAGCCAACACGCAAACACAAACAAACAAACTAACGAAAAAACAACACAAACAACCAAACAAACAAACAAAAATCGGCAAAACACACACACAAAAAAAAAACAACACTGCTGAAAAGAGCTTAACGAAAGGAAGCAAAGCCAATATTGAAGGGACTTACAGTTCTCAGCGGCAGCCGTGACCTCTTGGTTGCCCTCCCTGTCTGGGCTGTTGGTTTCCGTTTGCCAGGCGCTCTCGATTCGGAAACTTTTGCTCCGAGGCGCCAGATTGCAGTGATATCCCAGGTGCTGCGCCAGCAAGTTGGGCACCGCTGAGATCTTGTTCCGGTCCCTCACTGAGTCCAGGAAGGTGAAGCGCTCGAAATGGTTGTTGATGATGTCGTCCAGGCGCCCGTGGATCTGAGCGATTCAGAAGTTCAACAGCTCCAAGCACCACAATGCGGACAAAAAGGTTCAATTGGAGCCGCTACAGGTTGCAACATAAAGACTTTTCCGTAGGGCACCATAGTTTTCTGATGACGATCGACCGAGACTAATTGGCCTCCGGCAGCCTGAAAAGCTTGCCTGGTGCGATCCACGACGCTGCTCCCTTGACATCACTCCGCAGGGCATCGTAGTCATACACGATGAACTTCCTAGGGACAAATCCCATAGATTGCTCCAAACGTTGCCATCACACCTTTAAGCAGGCCAGCAACAACCAACGGATCTTTCAAAACTTCTCTTGTGAAGTCATTCCAGAACCTGTGGCGAATGGACAAATCCTGTTTGCCAAGCGGAGAACTAGATTCAATATTCGGGCCAGCCCCTGACGGCATAAGTTTGCGAACCCTCAATTCACTCAGGTCCTCGGCTAGTGCTTTCCTAGTTGTTGCTTCTGAGCCAATCCTCACTAGACAACAAAGGAACCCACGGTGCAGCCAAACTTGTGCTTCGAGATGTTTGGGTGGAATACGGACTAGGTGCACAACGAAACTAGTTCTTCACTATGCACTTCAAGCACATGCAGCAACCTCACCATCTTGCCGCGGCTAAATAAGAGAACCATATACATCTTAAACTTAGCGTGAAGGGATGTGCAAGAATGCAGAAACCTCAAGGGTGCACTTGCACACAATATATTCCACCAAAGTAGACTTCCTCCCTTCCAACCCCCACCCCTTCCCCCTCCCCCTCTACGGATGTCCAAACCCAACGCCCAAGCATCTCCGAGCTCCAGAAGCTTGCTTGAAGCAGTCGGGTGCCAGAGGGCCAGGGTACATTTCGGATTCCTACAACCATGGAACGGGCAGGTGAGGTGACTGGAAACCAAACCATGCGACGTGTGAAATGAATCAAACCCTTCCAAAGGTTTTTTCCTTTCAACAGGCATGGTGCGTTCTGTGCACGAACACCAGGATCTTTGTGAGAAGATGGGCTTTCTTCCCTCAGCTATGGAATATTTGTCAAGGATCCCCCCAGCTCTTCCGCAAATTTACTGTAGCACTGGAGCCCAGGAGCTGAGTTTCGCACCACCAGCTGCCAACGCAGACCACCAAGGGATAGAGCGGGAATGATTTCACTCAAGCAATTTGCTCTAAATCCAATCCTTGGGTCTCTGCATCCGAAGCATCCGGAACCAGCTGTCCACCTCTGCCAAACAAAACCGGGTTTAAAGGTGCCGTGTTCTGCTAAGTTCCAATCGAACGCTAAGTAGGAACATAAAGTATTTTTGGTCTTCCACCTTTCATGTAGGCATACATCAAAATAAGGGGACCCCAAGAAAGGTAGGGGTGTCCTTTTGGTGTCCTTTTGAAACCCAGCAAAAGGAGAGCCCAACAAAAATCGACATGCGAACGACTGTCCTGCCAGTCGCTCGGCCACCTCCGTCTCCGGGACTCGCTGCTTGGCGCTGCCCACCCACAGCGTCCAGCGTCGCACTTGCGCCTTCGCGAACACCGTGCTCCGCGGCTTCCTTCCACGGTCCAATTGGGACTTCTAGGGACTTCTCAAAATGGACCACCTGGTTGGCCTAGAAAAAGGGGGGAAACCCAAGGGAAACCAACCATTTGAGGGGACGCCAAGCATTTTGAGAAACAGAAGCATAAAAAGGAAATGTGTGGAGGCTTGGTACCTGTTTCAGGTTGGTTTTGAACCCCAAAACCACAGACATCATCTTTTGGGTTCCCTCGCTTGGACACACGCCCTCAACGTTTGAAACTACTTCTAGTGGCTTCGTGGCTTGTAGGCTGGGTTGCCCTTTGCGCCAATTTGATTCACAGCATGATTTGGTTGTGATCAAAACACAACCCTTCCAGTAAGATGTTTCATTTCGCCCTATTCTGACACACCAAATATTGGTGGATCAGTTTCCGAGTCTATGCTACAACTACAACAAACGACTCGTCTCTGAGCAATGTACCGCGAATGTGCATGGAATGCAAACCGACAAGACTTAGTTGTGCCGCGGGCGCCGCTCTCACTACGAATCTCCCGGCCTTCAGTACAGGTGTGCACTACATTCACTACTCGAACTCCACACATCACGTTCTCCCCAAACCAGGGAACCGCAGAAGCTCCACACTCTCTCCCATCACCTGGAAAGTCATTTTCATCTTGAATGAAGCCCTTGCCCAGTGCCATGTTAGTGGAAGGGAGGGTACTCCTGGGTTGCTTATGCAATCTTGTGGCTTTTTCAGCAGGGGACGGCTTGGTGTCCCCACCCCCCCCAAGGGCGCGTAGCCAGGGCGCCGCCGTGACTCACTCTCCCGGCTGCTGCGGCTGCAGCGGCGCGACTCTCCCGGTGTGAACGTCCGCTCGAGGTCCTGGCCATCTTTCAAACGGCCGAAGCATTTGGCCATGAATTTTCATTGGGGACTCCTTGAGTGAACATCATTTAGGTGGGGGATTCATGTGCACCAACCTATTGGAGGTGGATCCCCCTTGCAAATTATAGCAATAGTGAAGTTGGCTCATGTCAAACTAATTGGGCACTTAGCTTCCTCTGTAAACAGCTTGAAAGACGTTCACACGCCTAATGAGATATCATCTCACAAACGGATCTGCCCATTGGCCGACGACTACCGCACTGTTTTCTACTGTACGGAATGCGAACAAACTATTGAGAAGAACATCTCCTCTGGGATGTCCGGGAGTGAAAAACCCACAAGTTGAGTTCAACTCGCTCATGTGTGAGTCGAATGGTAAAATGCTGTTGCTTTGAAAGAGGCTCAGTTTCAACGGATGAGCTCGCCAAATGGCTGCTTCCATTCACCACCAAACAACACTATTCACTATGGCATCCTAGCAGAAACTACTGTCAAACACCGCGTTTCCAGTAACCCCATTCCCTGAGTTTGCATGTTTCATTATGTTACCGGTTTGGATAATTTTCAGCCTCACAACTTGGGAGTTGTGGGGGCAAGGATGCAATACTCACAACCTGCTGTGACAAACCTCTGAAAGCAAGAACAAGATGTCAACGTCGGGGGCGTTCCAAGACAATTGTCCGGAGAGTAACTGTCCATTCTCAAGCTTCACTACATGATGTCTTCCAACGGCAAATGATCAAACAAACTGCTCAAAGCGCGAGCAAGGTGTCAGTCCAACCTTGACTGGAATCACACGCCAAAACTTCCCCACACTTCTCCCCGCCGTGTCGCGAAGGAGCAGGGGCAGATCAATGTCCTGCCCAGAATCCGAGCCAGGTTCTTGGGAATTGGGTAGTGTCGGCCCCTGTTTTCACGGAAAATGAGGCACGCCGTCGCGAGCCTCGAACTCCGGCTGTTGCAAGGGGTGCAAAGATTTCTGTTGCCGGAAAAAGGCCCTTGAGCTGCTGTGCCAGGTTCAACCTCTTGGTCACGAAACATTCTAAGTGAGCCCCATGCTCAACTGAATTCCAAGCAACTATTCGACCAATGCTCAACTGAATTCCAAGCAACTATTCGACCAATGCTGGGGTCCCGGCAAGCTTGCGCTGCTTCATGATTTGCTCCATGCCTCAGCTTTGCAGCTCTTCTTGCTCCAGCTTGGTGCCATGCTTCCCTTGCAAGTTGCCGACCTTCGGACCTTTGCAGCGAAGGTAAGGATCTAGTCATGGCAGGGCAGGACACTTTCAGGGTTCCGCCCATGATCTGACAAGCATTCTGAAAGAACGCCTGCATCAGCTCTCTGGATGAGACGCAGTTTTGCAACACGCTTCCTGTGCTCTGCGGGATGGATGGATTCCTCTTGCCCAGGGGCAATGGTAGACCACATATGGCTGCTTCAGGGCTCTCCTGGAGCCCCGCAGGAAGCCCGCACAGTCCGTGAAGAAAAATGCCTGCAGTGTCCCCTCATTGAAGAGGATCATCTCCTGGGGGAAATTTGGAGTGGGACGACCAAGTCAATTTGACTTGGACTCAGATTGCTTTTTGTCCGCCTTCAAGTAGGCCTGTGCTTCAAGCATGTTGGCAAGATACAAGCAAGCAACAAAGAAAACAGGAAGCCACCAAGCCACAAAGCCAGCAAGCCAGCAAGCCAACCAGCCAGCAAGCCAGCAAGCGAACCAGCCGGCAATCAATCAATCAAGCAGGCAAGCAAGCAAGACAGCGAGGTAAAAGAGCCAGCCAGCCAGCCAGCCAGCCAGCAAGCAAGCAAGCAAGCAAGACATCAAGACATCAGGACAGGGAGACAGCAAAAGAGCCGGCCAGCCAGCAAGCAAGCCAGCAAGCAAGCAAGCAAGCAAGCAAGCAAGCAAGCAAGCAAGCAAGCAAGCAAGCAAGCAAGCAAGCAAGCAAGCAAGCAAGCAAGCAAGCAAGCAAGCAAGCAAGCAAGCAAGCAAGCAAGCAAGCAAGCAAGCAAGCAAGCAAGCAAGCAAGCAAGACATCAAGACATCAGGACAGGGAGACAGCAAAAGAGCCGGCCAGCCAGCAAGCAAGCCAGCAAGCAAGACAACAAAACAGCCAGCCGGCAAGCAAGCAAGCAAGCAAGCAAGCAAGCAGGCAGGCAGGCAGGCAGGCAAGCAAGCAAGCAAGCAAGCAAGCAAGCAAGCAAGCAAGCAAAGTACATCAATAAAGAATGAGTGATGGGCGATACTACTTGCTAGTGTCGGATATGCAGAGATGGCAAACATTAGGCAGGCTCCTGCAGTACCGCTTTTTGGGATGTTCACTACGTTCAACAAAATCACAAGGAAGAAACGGGCTAACAACGCACTGCCCCTAGAGTTTGTAGAGGTCGCTTGCGACGGTGCTTGTCCCGAAAGCTGTTTTCATTTCATCTTCTTTTATGCTTCGCAAGGTTTCGCAGTTCCGGCTGAAAAGTCACAACCTGCCCTTACAAAAGCAGTACGAAGTGCCCCTCCGCAGCAAGGGCTGGTTTGAGCAACTTCAACTTGATGCCCATAAGCCGCGAACTTGCTCTGCAGCACTCGTGGCAGAGCTATGCAGGAAAGAAATAAAGGAAGAAAGACAGCAAGAAATAAATACAGAAAGAAAGCTACAAAGAAAGCCGCAATAAGGCTACCAAAAAAGGAAATCAAACAACTAGAAAAGCAACAAACAAACAACCAAACAAAACCAAGAGCTTAATAAACGGCTTGTGTCCCCCCTTGCCCCACCCCGATGCACCCCCTCTCCGGCACGAGCAGCTGCACAGGCTTGGGCGGGGCCTCCGGCTTCCAGTCACTGGTTCCATTGAAGGTTGCCGGCTCCTCGCAACGGGACCCAACCGATCGCAACAGAGCGAGGTTGCCTCACCTGAACTTCTTTGTGCCATAGCCTCATGTTTAACTGGGCGTCGTTGCCAAGACTTGGAAGAACTCAAGAAACCGCTAGGCGAAGGTCAGTCTAAACTTGGCGCTTCGTTTCGGACCGGTGAAGGGGTAGATAAATGGCTGGATGTGAGTCGTGCTACGTCTTCCTATTGATTGAGTGTGCAAATGCACGCGGACAACAAACGCACAATTGAGTGTTGGTGAACCGCTCTGCTTGGGCAACAACCAGTGCTTCATTGTGACAATTATGTTCACTTCATTTGTGCCCGCTATTGAGATCATTGTGTCATTCTGTGCTTGCCTTGCACGTGTCTAATGCATGGCTCATGCCACATTCATGCTCCTGCAACGCACGCGTCCTAGAAAACAAAAGGCAGCATTCAATCCACAGGATGTGGAGCACAAGCAGAGCTCCAAAGTGTAGTGACTGAATTCATTGCTGCAATATATATGTGAGGCTGGGCTTTAGTTGTCACTCCCAACCTTGTCAAACTAAGCTGTCCAAGCTGCACCTCCCAAGAGTTGCACTATCTCACTCCCTGCTTGGTCGATCTGAGGGCAAAAGGGCTCCAAATGACTTCTGGCGCGACTCTTGCTTCGCGCCCTTGTTGCAGGTCATGGCTGGCGTGATTACCAGCATATTACCAATGCCATCTCACACATTTTCCCTGCAGTCAGAATGCACTCTCCTGGCCAAAGTCAGCGACTCGCTCTAGCAGCCAGGCAAAGTCATAGGGCCCAATGCTCGCTTCTTTGAGCGCGCTGTGGAGGCTATCTTGCATGGCATGGCAGCACTCATCGCATGGCGGGGGGGGCACATGCCTTTGTTAATGGCAGCGTAAATGGCAAAGGGACGCAAGCAAAAAGGCTGGCAAATGGGTTCAGACCTTCAAGAGTCAGTCACCAAGTCCAAAGCTTTCTTGCAAATGAAATAGGATGAGGCGCATGTTGTTGGATTCCCTCCAGTCAATTTAATAAGCCTTGCGCAAATGCCACTGGTCAGATTCATTTATCTTCAATTGGTGCCCAACGCGCAAAGATCATCAATAACTGTCTGTTCGCCTTGGCTGATCATGGGCGCCTCACTAGGGATCTGGCACTTCTGGCATTCTTCAACTCGCCAGTTAAAAGGAACATGCAAAAGTTTGCAAACAAGTCTCGCGGCTGAGGGAAAGCCTAGACCTCTTGTCGCACCTAAAAATACACTCCTCTCGTATCCCGACCTATCCTCTGAAAGCAACAACTATAAGAATGGGTGCTGTACATTGAGTGGCTTCTTTAGGCATTTACGGCTTGCCCTTTGAGCCCGTCTGCCTCGTTGAGGCTGTTGAATTGACAAACAGTCACGTAGACGCGGGGGCTCCGCGTGCCTCCGACACCTTCTGCTCAAGGGCAAGCTGCGCAGGCAAGCGGCCCCGCTTGTCTCGGCACAGGGCACCCTCCGGATAAGCCTCGGAGGGGCATACGGCAGGTTTCTTGAAAGCAGCAAGCTTGCGGTGCATTGGAAATGCTTTTGCTGTACACATGCTTGTGCATCCATCTAAACGCTTTCCCTTCCATGAGCAGGAACTTCACACGAAACCCACGGAAGCACATTGCCGTATACGTAGTTGTGAATGGCCAAAAAGAACTGTCCTGGGCATGGAAGGACAACATATACCATCGGCAAAAACTATAAGTACCAAAACTGGAGTTATATACATGGACAGGCCAATGACGCGAACTTCAGGGCAACTAATCGCTCCAGCAACGTTGGCCAGTTGGAAATAGGCCTATTGCTGAACTGAACCAAAGGCAGACAAACACGACGCACCCTCTGACGCAACCCAATCGCAGCCGCCTCCAACAATAGCTTCACCACCTCTTTGGGTGCATTGTGCTCTGCTGCCTTGGCGGAAGTTCGGGGCCCAGTGCCGCCCAACGCTGAAATCATGCAAGGTATTGATCAGCTGAGGAACACAAGCCAATGATGCAGCTTCTACACTCCCTCAGAATAGCGGAATAGCAGGGCACAAAACATGAATGCAGAGACGGAAGTAAACAAGCATTGGCTGGTTGGGTTGAAGGGCGCTGCGTCTCCTAAGGGCAGCAAGCCAAACACTGCCGCCACACCATCTGGGAGTGGTACACACCCCCTGGGGACAATGACCCAAAAGGCAGAATCCACCAGCGCATGAGCCAAACGGAAGATCTGAGCAGCCGGGCCCAGTGCAAGGGCAGGTCCCCTTCCTTGTCCACCTCTGCTGCTGCGCCCGGGCATCTCGCCTCACAAGCACAGGCAATCAGCCACCGCAGCCGCCGGCTCGCAGACTTTGAAATCCAAAACCGCGATCAAAATTCACCTTTCTCGGTAAAACAAAGCAACGACTGGGGAAGACAGGGGATGGGGAAGGTTCCCCCCCGCTTGTTGAGATTGCTGAAAAAATATTAAAGTTAAGATGAACCCCCGTCGAGTTTGCTCTATAGATTCGAGCTGTCTGCTTTGATTAAACCCAGCATAGAGAGTGTCTTTGTTTTGCTCTAGGTCCAAATGTGCGCATGGCGTTTAACACTGCCATCCTTGGGAAGGGATGCAAGAAGACCGAGCCTTCGGCCTCGCGACCCATGCTAGGCTGTCCGATCGCACGCTGTCGGCGGGTCTCCCCTTCCTTGCCTGGCCCTTGCTTTTGCTGCCAAGCCCTTGGTCTTCTCGTTACACATTCTGTTTAGCAAGGCCCGTGCACGGCATGCGTGCCCGACCTGATGTTCAGGGGGTGCCGGTTGCGCCCCTTCTGTACTAAGCACGATTTCGTTCAGCTGACCTGCACTTCGTTCCTTGTCCAGCTTGCTGGGCTACAAACGGCAATTCTAAGGTACCTGACACACGCTCACTACTCTATTTGGGCTGGACGAACTGATTTCCTCGTGGAACGTCTCAAGGCACACTTCCCAAACTATATCAAGCGCGTAATTGCCCCAAGAAATGCGCAAGCAATCCTTAAGTAAAGCGACTCCAGGCCAACCCCAAGCGAAACAACTTCAAGCCTGAACCAAGCTGCACTGTGACTGTCAATCAACTCACATCTAGCGTAAGCCGATCCAAAGCCCTTGGAAAAAAACCTAACCATGGCCTTGGAGAGTCAACAAAGGACTCCAGGGCAATGCGTGTTTCACATTTCCGCTGCACTGCATGTTGCCCACTGTCCATCAAGAAATGTCCATCAGCACCTGGGTCCTCCATGATTCTGGACACCCAAGCTTCAGAATCCCTCCGGGATCCCGAACAAACGGCAAACCTGCCTGGCAAACCCAGCAGAATCTGGGGGGTCGGTGCAGCAAACCCTTGGCCCCCGCGCCAGCAAGAGCTTCACCGCTGCAGCGTCTAACTTCTCCGCGTAGTGCAGTGGTGTCCAGCCCTCATCCGGCGCTTGGCAAACCCTTTGGGTACTCAGGGGCTACCTTGCTGCGTTTCTTAAAGGTAAAGGAACAAATAGTGCCTGGTCATCATGTTCAAATGTCTGGGGACGAACATGTGCTGTGCATGCCAACACATGCCAGCTAAAATCAAGTCCTGCTTAGGTCAAGGTTCATGGGACCCAGAACTTCTGGGGAAGCTCTTGACATACATGTCAGCCTTCCATCAAGCAGCATTCGGACCTACAAGTTCGCTGAGCTTTGCCGGAAGCAGCTCATAATGGTTGGCCTTACTTGCACAATGTACACCAAAAACCCAAAAACGCCACGGCCTCTGCAGTTACACTGGCCACGCACAAAACTTGCCAGCCTGTGACCTAAAGATGGTGCATTCTGCTGGATACACTGCGTAAGAACCCGTTCCCTGACGGAAAAAACTTCCCTCCCTACGGCCTGCCTTTCCAACACGAATGCGATTTCACCGTGTCCCCCGCTGCAAAGCCACCACCATCCCTCCCAACCCTGAACAAAAAATGTGGGGGGGTGGTCAACCCCCACTTTGCCTGTGGTCAGAGGCTGGGAACCTTCTTGGATCAAACATGAAGAATGGCGATTCGTGGCCGACTCAACTGTGTGGGCCACCAGCCTCCGGGTGCTTCTCAGTGGCAGCAGGAGGATGCGCATCTAGCAGAGCTGTCAGCACCTCAGCAAAACCATACGCATCCTAGTCTGAAGTTGCCCCCAGTGTGAAGTTGCCCCCTTCTTCATGTGTTGCTGGTTTTGATGCGAGGGGGCGGGTTAGGTCGCATCTTTAGGGAGGTGCATAGAAGGTAATTCAGACGTCGCACCACTGCGCAGAAATGACATCTTCGATGTTGTTTCGATACGAACCACAATGGGGCGCCGTGGCAGGGTTAAACATTTAGAAACACTGTGCTAAAAGCAAGACCACACACTTGCTGGGACCGATTCGCAAATGCGAGAAAGGCAAGAGGAAGAAACAAATCAGAGAGAGAAAAAGACAGAGGCCATTGCGTGAAGCCGCAAAACACACATGGCCTTCAGGCAAGGTTCGGGAGTCGTTGGCTGTACAAGCGAGAGGCACAATCAAGGACACCTTTGTGCCACCCAGAGCGAGCAGCCAGCAGCCAGCAGCCAGCAGCCATGGCCCAATAAAAAAACATGTTGTGCCTACCTCTAGTTACATGGCACCAAGAAGTAACTCTCCAAGTATGGCCTGTAAGGTGCTGGCATCCGCTCCAGCACCGTAGCTCAAAGCCCAGAAGAGCGGCCTGAGCAAGACCGCAGGCACCAGCGGGGAAGGCGACTGGCATGCCATGGTGAATGACTTGCTTCATGGGAAGCTTGAATTGTCGGTTGACATCAAACGCAGTTTGATATTCCTGCCAGATGAACTGAAAGTAAGAAGCCGCTGAGACGAGAGTCGAGAATTTTTGGGTCAAGATTAGGCACCCCTTGGTTGGATTGCTGTGGCTTCCCTTTGAACACCATCCAGAGGGAAGACCATTAGCGGTGAGAAAGAACTATGGCTGTCAAAACCTGGACAAGGAACAAATGTGATCATTCTTTGGCAAGGCAAAGAATGCAATTTGCGTAGCTCTTCACCCCAAGCAATGCACAAAAAAACATGAAGCCGCTGCTGCAATGGCTAGTGACTAGCAAACCACATATTACCAATATTGCATATTCTCGGGAGCGTGGGTACAGCCCACGGTCCTGGGAAGCCATGCGTCTGCAACGAATGCTTGTAAGCTGGCTTCGGTTTTGGACTGCAGACTCCCCACCAGAATGCTGTTGTGCATTGAGGCTCCGTCTTGCCAACCCTCTTTGGGTTAAGCCACTTTCGCGGCTTTTTGCGCGAGAGGCGGAATGAGTCTTGATTTGGTCACCAATTGAAGCAAACCTGCTGCAACGGGCGTATCAACCCTTCAAAAGATTGTACATGTCAATGTGTACTGACCCCCCAATAGGTGCGTTCTCTCTGCCAGCATGTCCTCGAGCATTCACTCAATCCTGAGCAAGACACCTTTTGCGATAATTCGCAAGTCTCGTATTCCTTGACCATGGCTTGCTAGATGAACCTTATACAACATGTACATCGAAGTTTTGAGCCAAATCACGTCGATGTCTGGCACTTTGGTCATGCCATCGCCGCTTCACGAATCAATCGTCAGCCACTTGCCCCAAAGGTCAAAAATCAAAACATGTTCAGTCCGAAACGCCCCTGGAATCCTGGAAACGCCTTGCTTGGCCAAAGCCTCCGGCTGCAAATTGTAGAAAATATCCCGAGTCTTTGCCTTGGAGGTGTTTGACTGGATGCCCGGGAATGAGCTGAATATGACTGATATGAACATGCTTGGAGACTGAT